TTATAATGCTATAACTTATTGAAAAGTGTATTGATCAATATAATTTTTTTATGGGAAATACTATTTTTTAATAATCCCTTTTTCATTCGACATACTTTATCTTAATCAGGATATTAATAAGGAACTAGCAGTTTATGAAGCTTTTGGAATAATCCACCAATTTTTTAAAATTAAACACTATCTAAAGATTTGCATCGAAGCGTTTTTTTTTTATAGTGATTTTAATCACTGTCAGATATCATTATACTTGATCCAACTATGCCACGTCACCACTGTGCCGCGACCCCCCTGTGCTGGGTTTTTTTTTAATTATTTTAGTTACATAAAACTATGAATAAAACTATGGACTATGTTTTATGTAACTAAAATAATTAAAAAAAAAAAATTATTAAAATAATAAATAGTTTTTGAGATATTTGCTGGTCAATGTTAAATGGATCACCCTGTAGTTGAAACAAGTATAGATGATATTCATCTTAAAAATATTTAAAATTAATACTAGAATCTTTTTTATTATTTTTGTAAAGAAGATATTAAATGAGGGTACTTACTGTTCCTTCTATATACTATACAGTTTAATCTAAAATATATACATAAATATTTGGAAAAAAATGAAATACAAAATTCTAACACGAGAGCTATATTTTTTTTGACTTCAAATTAATATCTTTTGCTTATTTTTGGGAGTCGTATACACACAGAAGACAAATCATCGGAACTTTATAAACTTTAATTTAACACATATTTGGAGCTCAGAATATCTATTGAACATTTACAAAACTCGAATAGGTAAACTTTTCATGCAAAATCATTACTATTTTGAATTCCTTCTTGTGAATAATTAAAAATTCATATTTCCCAATAATATATATATATATATATAACGAAAGATGAATCTTGTTGTTTATTATACAAATTCGTTCTGATTCATCCAGAATTTTTTTGTTTTAAGTTATGACAGTAAAAAGTTGAAAAAATGTGGAAATTAACAGATTTTAAAAATTGTAATCGTTTAAATTTTTGATTTGTGAGAGTACTGTTTTGCCCTGAAGTAATGCCTAACAGCAGTTCCAGGACGGCCCACAGTAATGCCGATCGTGAAAAAAAAGGGTTCTATCTTCAACTAAAAAAAATTTGTGATCTTTTGGCGTATTGTTGAAAAAATTCGCTCCAGCATTAACAAAAAACAAGTAGTGATAGTTATAAAAAATAAAAATTAACAATCCATGGCAAAATAAACATCTTAATTAATTCACTAGCTATACCTGTACACGGATTTTCATCTTGTTCTTCTCTGTTTAATACGATTCCACCTTTTAGAAGAAACTCAAATTCGCTCCATAGCAATTGACCTTTGGTTAGTAATATTTTGATACAAATTTGAAAAGAAAATAGAAGTTTATGCTGTTCAAATAGACCACGACATGTATTTCTGTATACTGCATATGTATGGTAAACATTCAAATAATTTATTCTTAGATTGATTAAATCACATTTTTCGCTTTTCTTTATAGAATTTTCAAACAAAGTAACGTATGAATCTAACGAAAATTGATACATAGGATCTATTTGATTCAAATCGTTAAGTATGAAAAACAGCGTCGAAGCCCGTTTAGCACATGGTCGATATCCCTTAGAAAAATGATATAAAATTTTATAAAAAACGATTTTTTTTATAAACACCAATGTTTATATATATTATACAATATATCACCTCGCGAGTTGCATCAATTTCAGCTTGTGTTGTCAATGAATTTTGAAGCTGTTTGTTGACTGTCACTGAAGTTTTTTTTGATGACTCCAATGTTTGAAATAGTTCTTCATTTTCTAACAAAGAACCTTCACTTTCATTTAATAACCTCAAGAGTTCATCTTCCAATTCCATCAGTGTTCTTTTTCCCGAATCAATATTAATAATTAAACTATTTTTGAGTTTCTCGAGTGCTGGTTTTTCTATTTTAACAACATTCCCCAGTAGTTGATCTTCTAGACCTTCTTCTTTAATAGCAAAATTTACCACAGTTGTTCTTGTAGAAATCTCAGGAGGATAATGAGGATTTCTCATTTTTGTTGTTATAAAAAACCTGAACTTTTCATCGTATAATAGTAATTTATCACCCATTTTAATAAAAAATGTATCTTCTACATAGAAATAAAATATTTATATTATTTCAATTTACTACTATCTTTAAATAAGTAATATTTTCACTTACTTTGTTTAACAATAGACTTGGATAATACTGGCATAACAGCTGGATCAATAGTTTCAGAAGATATTTGAAGTAATGTGGGATAACCGTTTTGTAAAGCATCTTCTAGAATTTGAATGTAATTTTGGACACCAAAGTCTATTACCTTTAATCCATTATCAGCCTCCATATTTTTAATCCATTTTTGTGCTTGGCATTGGGGATCGATCACTAATGGCCATCGCGAACTTCGACTTATTATTATACCATTTTCTATACTAAATCCATCATTTGGTAGACCATTAATATTCCATGTTCTTATAATAGCTGGATTTGATAAAAATTCAGTAACTTGATATTCTGGATTATGCGGTATTGTCATATCTTTGATTGTATTAGCCCAGAGATTAAAAAGAGTTTCTCTATATTTCGATACAAAAGGACCCATGTAGGAAATAAATGCAGTGCTTATCAAGCAGTCCCCAGGCAAATAATCGAAATCTATATCGAGTTGTTTCACAGTTCTTGTCCATCTTTCTCTTTCATCAGATAATCTATCAATAAGTATTTCTGCTCTTTCTAGACTTCTTCTTAATTCAGCCGCCTGTTAAATTTACATTTTATTAAAACCTTTACCGTATAATTTTCTTAGTTTCTGTGTACCTTTTTTACTAATTCTTCCTTTTCTTTCATTTTTTCGGCATATTCTGCTTGAAGATCGTCAAGAAGTTTTTTTAATTGTAAAAGTTTCTGTTCAGCTGTGTAAAGAGCTAGTTGTTTTTCTTTAAGTGAATCCATTGCATTGTCTGCTGCTGCTTTTTTTGGAGCAACAACTCTGTTTTTTTTTTTTAACATTTATTTATTGTTCTTTCAATCAAACAAAAATAAAAATAACAATAAAAAAAAGTCATACTTGTAAATTTTTGCATATTTTTCAATAGCAATTACCCATAGAGCTAAAGATTTGGAAGCCATAGACTGAAGGCCTACTTTATTAGGTTCAAATTCAGGATTTCTTGTAAATACAGCAATTTTTTTTAACACCTTATCTGGAATATTATTTTTGTCAAAATCTTTTAACTAGAAAATATTTTCAATCTTTGTTAATAATTATAAACATTATCATTTAAATAATAAAATTTTATACTTGGTTTAAAAAATCAGGATCTCCTAATTGCCTTTTAGCTTCATTCCAAGTTGGTTCAGATTGCTTTAGGGTCATTACGGCTTCTAATACTAATTTTACTCTATCTGGTGGTCTTGAAAATGATTTCACTTCAGAAAGATCTTTTTTATTTAATGAATTTAAAGCCTAAAATTGAGCAGTTTTGAAAATAATAATGATTAATTATTATTGTACAGTATAGTTATTTTGTAATAAAATTATTACATCCATAGCTTCTTCTAAAGCAGGCATTGCAGCTTTTAAATCATCCATAGCAGTATTATATAATTCTTGACAAATTACTTCTTCTTCTTTAATTTTTACACTCTGTTCAGCTACTTCTTCTTTTTGTTTATCTGCTTCTAAAGACCGCTTGTATATGATATCAAGAAATTTATCGCATTCTTTAGTGTATAAATTAACTTGTTTAGTAGCTTTTCCCAATTCTTCTTTCATATCAGCTACTTTATCACTGGTATCATCAATTTTAAAAAGACCATTTCTCAGTTTATTAGCGGTATTAGCAATTCCCTTTCGTTTTACATCTAGTGTTCTATTAAAATTAAATATTTGTTACAATAATAATTTTTATTCTGCTTAAATTTTTTCCGCAACGTCATAGTTGCACTGGGTTATTATGACACATTAACAAAGACCCAAGTAATTAGATGATCAAAAAATTAGTTATTTAAAACTTAAAACAAATATTATACTCTTCATATCCAGAAACTAATTCCAAATAATTAGTTGGCGTCACATAATTATATCGTTTCATTTCCAACATCATTTTAGTTGAACATTCAATTACTGATTGGTGAATTGTTGCAAAAACTAATGCAATACAGCTTCTAAGTTCTTCCTAAAATTATTCAAATTAAAATTTTAATTTTAGAAAATATAGATAAAATAATAAAATAATATGTATAATTACAATATATAAAATACCTTCTCAGCTTCGCATCGAAGCTAATATCAATTAAAAATAATTGAAATGTATTTTTATAAATTAATATTTTATTAGTAAAACAATTATATTAACAATATCAATATGTTATTTATGATATGTAGATTCAACGTTTTATAATAAGTTTAATAAATAAAAAGTTAAATCTAAACCTTTTGAAGTTATGAATGATTATAAATTTTATGATTTTAATGAATATAATTGTTTATTGCTTTACAGTATGGAAACATTTTAATAACATTTAACATTGCAATATTATTAAATAATAAAATTTTAAAATTTATAAATTAAATTATTATAATTATGTACCTGTGTCAAAATAACATTTTCAATATCGTAGACCTAAAAAAATATTTTAAAAATAAGAATTTATTTTAAACTTTTCATATAACTTATACCCTAGGATCTCCTGTAATTGTCTTTAGTATATCTATTGTGCTTAACGACTTTGCTGCTACTTCTAACAAAGCGTCTTTTGGCCAATCTAAAAACCAATCAATTGTTGTGCAATTGATTATTGATGGATATTGCCTCAATCTTACTCTAAAACATAAATATTTGAAAAATTAAGTTGTACTACCTCTGTAACAAAAATTAAATTGTTATAAAATTATCAATAATATTGTTTTAGTTTATTGTAAGATCATTTAACGAACAAATTTAGATTCTATATAATTTGTATAGATACCAGGAGCGTTTTGAATTTTTTTGAAAGTGGATATATATAAGAATTTTTTTATTTTCCCCTCCATAATGCAGATAAATTTTTGGTAAAAAACTAATTTTCATCATTGAAAGTAATAAAATGTTGTAAAGAGAAAATAATTTGATTCAAAAACTCTACATTAATAGGTGGTTAAATAATTGTTTTTTTGTCATTTTTCAAGTTAAAAATACGATAAATTAAATTTTCTTAACTCCCACTTGTAACTTGTTACTTGATAGTAAACAAATTACAATCAATTTTGTTTTTACAATTGTTTTTATTCGATAAAGCGCGGTTAAGTATAGTTCGTACTGGTGTATGTGAACTCCATTTGCACTACATACCTACTCATCTACGTATTAAATAGTTGTATGAACAAAATTTAAATTACAAAAAAAAAGTACAGTATAGATCCAGAAAAGTGAAGTCGGTGGTTTTTTTTATTATAGATAAATAATTAAACAATTACTTTTAATGTATTTAAATAACCTTGAACGATAAAATTAAATTATTTTTATGTAATATTAAATATATTATATAAATCGAAACCATTTTTAACAATCATACATTAGAATATTCTTAGCACGTCTAATTTTTAAAAACAGAGATGTGGCATACAAAAAAAAACCCCTAGCACAGTAGGGACGTGGCATAGTTGGGTCAAGTATAATGATATCTGACAGTGATTAAAATCACTATCCTAAAAACCACTTCGATGAAAATCTGTAGATAGTGTTTAATTTTAAAAAATTGGTGGATTATTCCAAAAGCTACATGATCTACTATTTCCTTATTAATATCCTGATTAAGTTAAGGTATGTCAAATGAAAAAGGAATTATAAAAAAATATTATTTCTCATAAAAAAATTGTGTTGATCCATAAACTTTTCAATAAGTTATAGCATTATAAAATTAAAAATGTAAAAAATAAAATCGAGAATTTTCACACAAAAATATCATTTGGTAGCCATTTTCACCACGAAGACAAGTCCAGAGGCCAATTTTTTTTTTGCATAATAAAGTAAATTACATTAGCTTTAATTTAAAATATATATAAAAGTGTCAGACTTTTCGGTACATTTTCAAAAATCAAGTTGAAAAAATTAATTTTTTGTGAAAAAGTTGTCATTTTAAATTCCCCCCTGTGGGCAAGTAAAGGGTCACATATAAAAAAAAAATATACCAAATGAAAGGTAATGATATCATGCATCTATATAAAAAAGAATTATATTGATTTGGTTATTTTTAAAAAAGTTATAGCAATTTTAAGTAAAAAAAATTGAAAAAATTTTGAAAATTAGCGATTTTTAAATTTGTAATTTTTTTGGAGGATTACCCCCTTTACGGGGAACGAGGGAATTTTTTTCAATTTTTGAGGGTAATGTCTTCGACTAAAAGATTATTATTAAAAATTTTAAAGAATAGTATCAGCAGATTTAATTAGAAAAATGCATAATAGTTTGTTTTTTTTTACTTGTATTTTGAACGAAAATATACTTCTTGCATACTCGGAAATTTTGTTTCTCAAATTTTTAAATAACTAATTAACATACAACCATTTAACCATTAACCATTTTTATGCATCAAAATTTTTATCAAAAACTGTATATCAAAATTTTTTTAAGTTTATATATCACAACTTTTTAAATTTTCAAACAATGCGCAATATGAATTGCATATGTTGCAGCTATAGTGTCGACAGTTTCTTTGTAAATGGTTTGAGCGGACACATACTCAATACTTTGGTTTATCCGATGGTTGACCTGTTTATTTTGGCGAAGTTCCTTTTGATTGTTCAGTTCCAATTCATGCTGTTTCCACATATTATTTTCTTTCACGGTAGCTTCCTTAGTAGTCGTTATTTCCATTAAAATCGCATGCGTACATTTTAAATCAGATGCGTCTTCTTCTGTTAGCCGATCTTGAATTTTTCCAGAACTCATTCCTACTACGAATATAACTTGTATAACAGTAGTTAATTATGGCGAGAATTTGCATTTCAATCCAAGATTTTTGACTAGAGCACCCCAATCTGCCACCGTTTCATCAGTACGTTGTTTTGTCAGGTAAAATTTATTATTTATTCGCGAAGTATAATTTAATCGGCTGATAGTATCAATTTAGAAGCTTTAAAAAAAAAACACATCTTAGTAAAACCAATACCTTCTCAGCTTCGCATCGAAGCTAAAATTAGAAGTGATAGAAAAAGTCTAATTGTAGATTTGAAAACAACGCAAATAGATGATTTAGAAAAGTATATTTTTGCTTCTGATGAAAGTTCCTTGTAGTCCAGTGCATTTATTTATAGTAACAAACAATTTTTATTGAAAAATATTGTATCAAACCCTTTAAATTTTTATACACGTAAAAGTAAAGCAAAATATAACTTTTTTATTATTTTTATAATTTCTCCGTATAAATTATAATATTAAATTATTGAATATCAATTTCATACTAAATTTAATAATTATAATTAGTATTTATTCATATATTATATTTTAAAATCAAAGAACTACTAATCAGGATATAATCAAAGAAATAAGAGTTGATGTTGCTTTTGGAATAATCCACCAATTTCTCTAAATGAAACACTATCTACAGATTTGCATCGAAGCGTTTCTTATGATAGTGATTTTAATCACTGTCAGATATCATCTATACTTGTCCCATCTATGCCTCATCCACACTGTGCCTCGACCCCACTGTGCTACCGTTTTTTTTTTTTTATATAAATATATATAAATTTATGATTTATATTTAATAATTATTAAAATCTCGTTTTCCTCGTGGCCAAATTGTTGTGTTTTTAATATGAAAGACAACATCAAATAGTTTAACAAAAAATAAATCTTTATTGAGAAACAGTGTAATTGTTAATGGCGCATGTGCCGGTAATCACACATGCGAGTAGTGGTCAATCCTCACTACTAATTTATATAATATTTATAAATACATAACAATTTGAATGAAATTTTCTGATTTTTGCATAGTATTTCTATTAATTGTAGTTAAAACTGTTCCTAATCATGTAAATCAACTTTAAAAAAATTTGTCTATTTAAAATTTTTGTTATATATTTATATGAAATTTTCCTGTTTTTATAAATTATTAATTATCTCAATCACTGGAGGCATATTTAAAACCAGTGTAAAACAGTTTTTTGGGCTTGTATATTTTTATTAATGTTACAAATACGTATTAATAAGTATAATTCAAAAATTGTTTAAAAAATATATAAAAGGAGATATTGAAAAAAGTTATAAGAGTTGATATCTAGTTCTGAGACACCATATAAATTAATTATTATTACACATTAATTATTAATTATAAAGTTGAAATACAAACCGAAATTCATTTCCAATAGGACTTAAACAAAGAACAATGTGTAAATTGTTTCTAACACGATCTATAAAAAAAGAATATATTGCTTCAGCAGTTTCAAGAACACCAGATCTCTTAGCAATATCTGACAAAGAGATTTTAATCTGAAACATTTAAGTTATTAACAAAAAAGTTGTTTTTTTTTTTTTATTATATTACTTCTTCAAATTCTTCTCCTTTGTATAATTTAGAAACTTCACCCGTACTTAAAATGTTATTTATTATTTCCAAAAATGATTCATTGGCTATTTGAGTATCATTGAATATAAATGTTGTTGGTTGATCTTTTACTCCAGTTTGGGCGTAAAGAAGTTTTAAATCTTCTTTAAACTCCATAGTTCCGTATGATTTAGTTAGTTCAATAGTAAACATGTTATAGTTGCACATCCAAGTTGCTAATTTGGCAAGTGAAGACCTACCTGAACCACCTTAACAAAAATATTAATTGTTATTTACTATTACATCATTTTTAACACAATTTAATTTATTCAATTATACCTATAATGTCTTCTTTTATTAATATTTAATAATATTATTAAAAGCATTTTAAATTATGATTCTTGTTTTATTACCTATGCCAACAATGAGCATGTAGCCTCTTGGCTGGGATATAACTCTAGCTATACGACACACATGTTCAACGGCGTCTCTGAACAGTACAAGATTCATTGGTATGACATTTGATCTGGAATTGTATTCAGATAGTCTATTGTAGATAAAATCTAACAACTTTTTCTCGTCAACTATCTCTTCATAAAGCACATATTTATTTAAAAAGTCACAAAAAATGGGATTACTATCAGTATGGCAAAGAGCTCGATATGTTAATTCGAAATTTTTTCCAAGTTGGTTGTTAACTTGATTTAAAAGCCAATCTCTATCTCTAAAATAAAATTAATCTAAAATATAAATTAACACATAAATTATGTTTAAATTTACTTAAAATCAATTAGTCGGTCACTAAAAACTCGAAAAACTTCATGACACCAAAGTCGTAGCATTAAGTCTTTTTCGTTTTGAAAATCTGTACTACTACGTAATAATCCTTGAAAAACCTATATTGTAAAAAATATATTCATATAAACCTATTAATAGCATAAAAAAAGGTAACAACTTGAGGTTAAAAAAATGTGTAACCAGAAAAACTATATATATTTTTATGTACTATACCTAAATATAGCATAGTAAAAATATATTAATACAAGACATATATTATTAGAGTTTGTAATAATATAACTCTATACATATTATAATATAGATTATAAATATTATTGTGATTTTTAATTTTAAATTAAATAAAAAAACTAGTATGAAGTATATTATATTGATATTGTCGAATAAAAATTACGAATAAATTATGAATTACGAATAAAAATAAAAAACATTATTAAAATAAAATAAATTTAAAAAAACCCAGCACAGTGGGGTGGCGGCACAGTGGGGTCGTGGCATAGTTGGGTCCAGTATAGATGATATCTGACAGTGATTAAAATCACTATCATAAAAAACGCTTCGATGCAAATCTGTAGATAGTGTTTAATTTAAAAAAAAAAATTTGTTAAAATAGCATATTTTTGAATATGGTAGCCATTTGCGCATAGAAGATAGGTCGTCGGGACAAATTTTTTTTTTTATTTTATAGTACATAAAATAAGCTTTAATTTCATATATGTTTGAAGGACGCAGTATTTCCGGAACATTTTCAAAAATTAAGTTGAAAAAGTTAATTTTTGTAAAAAAGTTGCTATTTTAAATCTCCCTCAATGAGCAGGTTAAGAGATAGATTTTCAAAAAAATGATATCAAATGAAAGAAAAATACCTAAGGTTTTAGTATAAAAAATATTTATGTTNTAAATATCTAAGGTTTTAGTATAAAAAAAAATTATGTTGATTTGTTGATTTTTCAAAAAGTTATGGAAGTTTTAAGAAAAAAAAGTGAAAAAATGTCAAAAATTAGCGATTTTTAAATTTGTAATTTTTTTGAATATTTCCACCATTTGCGGGGAACGAGGGAATTTTTTTCAATTTTTAANTAAATTTGTAATTTTTTTGGATATTTCCCCCATTTGCGGGGAACGAGGGAATTTTTTTCAATTTTTAAGGGTAATGTCTTCAACTAGATACGATTTGTGATCTTTTGACGTATTTTTGAAAGAAATCGGTCCAGTGAGAGCTGAGAAAAAGTGGCAACAGACATAAAAAAAAAAAAAAGAAAAACACATCATAGTAAAATTAATACCTTCTCCGCTTCGCATCGAAGCTAAATGTTTTAATTTATCAATTTTCCCAATCAAATTGCTGTAAAATCTAAAGTATTTAAATATCTTTAAAGATGGCAAAATAAGCACAGTAAAAATTTGTATTTACAATATAGACACCGTTTATTTGGAAAAACAGCACTCTCTAACTATGGGCGTAGTTAGTGTAAACAGAATATACGGCAAATTTAGTGATACCTTACAAAAACGACTATAACTCAAAAATAAGCTATCCTATCGAAAATATGTAAATTAATAATACAATGTAAAATGATAGACATGATGAGTTCCTTAAGTTTAAATTTTTATTAAAAAAAAAACGTTTAATTTTTATTCTAATCAAAAAGTTTATTGTGATAAATATTATTATAGAAATTCTCTTAGTTTAATTATTTTAATTTTTAGAAAATATCTGTGTACTCGTATAGTTCAATCACAGAAATTACTCAAAATTCTACCCCTATGCACCGTCATTTCATTAACGCACGGTGTCTATAAGCATTCTGTTAACAAATTTTGTCTTTGATAAATGTTATCAAATGAGAACATTAATGTAGTTTCCTTGAAAATTTGCGCTACAGAGTTTCTAGCCTGATTATAACTATAAACAGATGATACAAATTATTTTTTTTGAGTTCTCCGAAAACCAAAAATTAAAAGATGAATAAGAAAGAAAAAAGTTATACTGTACACTTAAATCTACTTACAAACCTTGGATATGTCACGTAAGTTGAAAAGATAATGCATTTTTGCTGGAGTAGGCAACATATTCATAACAACACTATTATATAAATCAACTGTCATCGTAGTCAATCCTTCTTCTGATTAAAAATGTTCGTTATCAATACAAAATAATTAACGATAAAAGATGTGCTTACTTAGGTTAAACACATCTTCTTGAAAATTTTTTAAGTGTTGATTTAACATTAGTCCATAAATTCTGAATATTTGAGTTTCTTCGGGAAATGTTAAGTTAATTATGCTAAAACTACTTAGTAGTCTATTACTAATTGTATTTCTACCACCGCCAGGTGGACCCATAGCTCCAATAAGTAACATATTTTTAACATATTTAATTGTCTGTCTTTGACGGTCATACCAAAATTCGTAATCAATCCATTGTCTAATCAATTCTAACGGAGGTTGCGCTCCATAAATCTCTTTTGCAGGCATATTCATGTCATCCAAAAATGTTATCATAGTTTTATCTATAAAAATAAGATAATTTGACTATATTTAAGCAAGGCTTATGTATGATAAAATTACCTCCCATAGGTGCATAAAGTTCTTTAGTTCGTTTTTCCAGACGCCCTTCAATAGCTTCTTGCACGTTATTTGATGTAGTTTGAGCTGACATATTAATAGTTAAAAAGGAAAACTTATTTTTATTTAGAGATTCTAGAGCCTTTTGAGCAGTAGATGTTTTTCCAGTTCCCACTGGTCCTACTAGAAGTACTGGTTGTTTTTTGCTTAAATATGACTCAGTAAGGTAGTTGTAACGTACTGTATCCACTGTAGGTACAATTATTTTGAAAAACTGAGTACTGAAATCAATAAAATTATTTGCTATGAAAATATTAAAATCAAAGAAAAGGACTGATAATGATTAAACTATAACAAAATAAAAATTTAAGAGAAGTTTCATGTGTCAATCTTTAATTGATTGAACAATTTTTAAATTAAGGTAATACTAAAAAAAACAGCATATTAGAGGCACGGCATAGTTATATATGATATCTGACAATGGTTTACATTACTAACAAAAAAATTGTTTGATACCCCCAAAATATATGGTACCATATCAATCAATCAAGTGTGAACTTAGAATTGTTATGAGCAGACATAAAAAAAACGCAAACATCATGGTAAAATTCATACTTTCTCTGATTTTGAACACATTTACTTCTTAATCTAGCAGGAAATAATGTATTGAGTTTTTTTTATAACCCCTGAGCAAAACTTCATTGTAATAATTTTATAGTAATGTTTATATATGAGTTTATTATGATAAATAGTATACAAATTACTTACTCTGGATCACATGCCCATTGAGCGGGTAGTTTATCTTCCCAATGATTAAACCTACAAAAATTACTATCAACATAATAGTGATAAATAGTATCTCTTACGGGAAAAATCCTTTCTAGCTCTCTTATATAAATGTCTATTTTTTTTCGACCATCATCATTTACTCCAGAGCATACTGACCATACCATACTAAAAAACAATAACCTATTTAAAAATATACTGAAAATATGTTATATTATTGCCAAAGTAGTACCAAAATATGAACCATATTTTTGTAAGATAGAAGTATTTTTCTTCATCCAGATTATCAGGAATTTTAACGGCTATTTGCTCAAAAGTAAAACACTCCAATAATTTGCATAGTGAAACTATTGAACTTAACTCTGGAACTGGTATTGTTTCAGTACAATGCTTTTTTTTGAAAAACAACATTTTGTTTATATAGTTATCGAAATGATCTCGAATCTACTGACATTTGTAATTTAATATTTTCAAAAATTATAATGAGTTTTTAAAACATACTGCATCTTTATAAGGTTCAAATTTACAATTATTTAACCAAGAGTCAACATATAATTTCCAACCAAAATCATTGTAATCGTTATACACTATACCACACCTAGAAACGGTAGCTGGAGATGCCACAGCCAAATCTTCTACTTCAAATAATAGAGATACCTACTTATAGTAGAAAAAAATATTTATTATTTAAAATATTTAATTGATATTATCAATTTACTAAAACTTAGAAATTTCGATTAGGCGTAATATTCGAATACATATAATCTAATATTCGAAAGTCAAACAAAGTAATTTTTCAGGATAGTATTATCCGTGACTTTTTTAATACTAATGAAGTGTACTCTATAGAGTATACTTCTCCTTCACAATCCATTTAGCATGTACATAACGTTTCAATGTACATGCACGTGTCCTCATTAAAATAAAGAATACATTCGTTCTAATCTTCAAAAATTATAGAACGTTATGGTACCTATCAGGTTGACTAAATGGAAATTTAAAATCTAATATTACAAAAAAATTAAACATAACCTGCTGAGGCATCGTAATTCTTTCACTGTTTATAAGAGTCAAAACCTTATTATCATCCATTACAGAATTCATATTTTCTATCCATACGGCATCAACAGGCCCATCAAAAAGTATCCATTTACGTTCGATTGAACTATCTACACAGGTATTTTATTAATTAAATGCAATTCGTTTTCCAAAGCTAAAAAATGTATAAAGGGTAAAATAATATATTTTATTTCTGTAATCATTATTTCAACATGTACTAAAAAAAATTTACTAAATTAAAGAAAAATTTTCAAAAACCAAAATTATTTTAATTCCTAGCTCTAGTAATTGGATTGGATTGGTTTAAAGATATAGACACTGAAAATATCTACATATTTTAAAACTTAGGGCCCATTTTCATAATTGTTATTATTAAGAATAATTTAAATCAATAATAGTAACATGTAGTTTATACGTTGTATTAATTTCTTTAAAAATAATATTATGGATAATTAGAATTATCTTAATTAAATTTTATAATTGATAAAATTAGTGCCTAAACTTTAATATTTTATGAACTTAATTATATTACCTGAACAAGTTTTACGCATTACAGATGATAAAACACCGTCCATCCATTCTTGTGTTGCTAAATTGTACTCGCCATATAGTTCACCCAAAGAAAGTGCTTTTGGATTCATAGGAAATTCCTAGTAATATTTATAATAGAAAATTAGTACTGGTATATTATAAAGACCCTTTTCGGTTATTATAATTAATTTGATAATACTATAATTTTAAATAGAAGCATTTTGATAGAATAAAAACTTGAATATCATTAAGTAAAACTAATTACTTACATTAAAAACTAAATTAAAAAACGTTAATTTTAAAATAATAATAAATATTCAAAAAAAAATTTATATGAGATTAACCATCGATTTATTTATCGTATTATAACTTACAACAACTAATTCAAACCCACTAATTTGATTCTTTTTCAATAAAGAAGAAGTATCCCTTAACATTTTCCAAGTTGTGCTTTTTGCTGCTCCAGTTTGTCCTAAAACCATAACTGAATGCCTTGAATTTTGAGTTTCATAGAGTTGAACAATTTTTGATATAGCTGGTTTTGATGGCTGGAGATTACTTTTTTCCATACATTTGATAATTCCGTTTATAAGTATATCATTTTTTACAGGTGGCAAAACAATATTAATAAACAAATCATTTGTAATTCCCATAAAAAGTGGCAAATCCTCAACGGTAAGTTTTGCTAAATTCATATTCTGCATAGCTAATAAAAGAACCTAAATATATAAACATCAAAAATATTAAACGCTGTTTGCAAATTTGTTTAAAATAATAATGATAAAATATTAGAGTTTTACTTCTTCATCTGGTAAATGTGAATATAGACGTCTACATTGACCAGAGTATCTTAGTAAAGCAACCATTCCCCGAAGTCCAAACTCATAGTGATCTTGTTTACTGAGCTGTTGTTTACATAATGAAAATAATACAAACACTTTATTTGCTAAATTTTTAGTATCCTTAAAACCTTCACCAAACAACATTATTTCAGCAATAAGCTTGCTGTCTGGTACCATCATAGAAATAGCACGAAACATAGATTTTAAATTATCGGGTAATTCAGTTCTTCCAGCATAACCCGGATTCATTGTAATAAAAACTCCACATGTAGGCAACAATCGTATTTCATTTCTCTCAAAAATAAATCTACTTTGATTTGCAGCAAGTGCTGAGAAAATAGACAATATCTGCTGTGCAACAACTGACAATACTTCAATATTAATTCGATTGAATTCATCAAAACAACCCCATGCACCTTGTTGTGCTAGACCTATTACATTAGGTACATAATAACAGCATAAAGATACAAAAACTACGCAATCATACATTTTGGGGATTGGAACCATAATTTTTTATAAGTTCCAACTCTAGCTTATAATCTATAAAAACAATTTCAATAGTTTCCCAAAAAACAAGTTTTTGTTCCTAATAGATAAAATTTAATTAAATTGTAAGAATAAAGTAATAGATAACCCTTCCAAAAATTCAGTAAAATGATTTTACTGTTTTACTACTTAAAAATATTTGTAATACCCAAAAAATTGACTATCTTGCTGCTTCTGTTAAGATAGTTCACCATTCAATTTAAACTAATATAATATAAAATAAATACTTTTATATACTTTAAGAAAATAATTTTTTTTTTTTAATAAAAAAGGGTGAATAGAAATAAATAAAAACTACTTCTCATTTAAATGACAGAAAAATATATAAATAATATAATTAAGGCTATTGCTAAAGATCTACAATATTTAATCTTGTAATACACAAAATATAGATTATATAATTTATAATTTAAATCCATTAACATTTTGGAATATTAAGTGATAACAAAAACATTACAAGGGCTAGAACTAATAATAATTATTAATTATTTGCCACATTGGAGGGAAACTATTTAATTTACATTCTAATCCAGGTTTTAAATGTTTAATAGGTTCCTGTTTAAAAACTAATTTTAAGGTTTTTTTCCAGTCCCTAATATATCTATTTAAATTAATGTTAATTCATCAATTCAGAGTAATTGCTAAATTACTTTATCTTAACTTAGTTTTTAAAATTTTCACCAAATAAGATTTTGAATTGTGTCTAATTTATGAAATTTTATAGATTATTATTAACAGAAAGATAAACCATATATTACACCTCTTATAAAGGTGACTCGGATTAAATTTTCTAAAATTTCGCATTTAAAAAGTAATAGAGCAAAGTAAAATTTTATACCAGAAAAATTTCGTCCCATACTCATATAGTCGTGTCCTTCAGAACAATTGATAACTATTACATAGTAAGCTAAATTCTTTCCTAAATCTTTAACTGTTTCTGTTTTCCCTGTACCCGCAGGACCTTTAGGACTACCACCGCGAAATAGATGTAAAGCTGTAGTTAATGTTATATAACAACGATCAGTCAGCGGTGTTATCACTAATCTTCCCGAATTTCCTAAATATTCATAACCATATACTTGTCTTGTATTAGTTTGTTTAATTACTATGTCATTAATCTTTTTATCCCAATAAAAACGCAACTGAGACATCCATTCAAATGCCGTTACATCCATGCAATCTAAGTTAAAACTCATATAAAAGAGATATTTTTATAATATACTATTTTAATAAGTTGAAGTGTACAAACTAACTAGTTTTGTACATTTTTTCAATAACATCTCTAGCATGTATTTCAATAGTTACTAATGCAACCACTTTCAATCTCACAGTTTTAGGTAAATTTCCTCTTATAGCATCAGAAAATTTTGATAAAATTGTTTTCTGTTTTTTACGAATTTTTTTCAAGGGGAGCTTATTTTCAATGTGTTTGCACATTATAAGTGCTCTTGTACAATCTGTTGTCCATTGTATCTAACAAAAATTATACACATTTAAACTTTTTTTACGAGAATTAGTTTATATTAATTATTATTATTTTTTAGAATGATAAAGTCTTTAACATTCTATCGTTATATTATTAAACTACTTACTTGAGATGCAGTTATACACAATTGTCCAGGCCAATGAAGTATCCAGTCATCACGATTTTTTAAATTTTTCATCAATGCCAATTTTACATCTTTAAATACGCTTTTTAATGATATCCGCATTGTACTTTCTAAATTTGAGAATGTGGGAATTAATAATAAATATCTAAATAATTTCAAGTCTAAATGAATACCTATCGCACATAGCCAAAATTCAACAGGCCCCTCACATAAAACTGGTTTAACCCAAGGTACAAACTCCCCATCTTCAGAATACATTCCACTAGCTTCAGTAGTTTGATCTTTTGTTGTCTATTAATAAATAAATAAATGATGCATGAGAAAAAGTTATTAATTAGAAATACAATGAAAAAAAATTTAAACACCCAGAATCCATAGATTTCAATATTTTTTAAAAACGATTAGTGTAATACAAACACTTAAAAATTATTGAACAATAAAAAATGTATTTTTTAATTTATTAGAAATTGTTTGTCAATTCTAAGCTTATTAACATATTTATTTTTATTTTGACACGTTTCTCCCTAATAATATCTTATCAAGTAACCTACACTCATCTTAACTTTGTTAATGTTATCAAAACATTTTTTCAAGTGTGGTTGTATTAGTTCAGGATTTTTTGAATTTCCCAAAATTTCCAATAAATCATCGTTGGATATGAAATAAAATCTTGGAAACACATTACGCTTAGTTTCCATATAGACCTCGAGAGCTTTTTGAATAGCTTGCAACCGATCATCCATTGTGTTTAAATGTTTAAGTAAAGCTATAAAGTAAAAAATAATTAAAGTTTATTGGAAAATCAATATTAAATAACATACATATAGAACAACAAGCTTTAAAAACATTTTCTGTTTTATGCATTTTTGACGTTATTTTCTTCCATTCTGTCGTCAGTTCATCATAAGTCATGGCTTCCTTAGGCATTTTTTCTCGAATATCATCACCGAAAAATATATTCTTTAAAAAACATATGATTTCTAAAATTTTACTTTTTAATAATCAAAAAAGTTACTTCTAAATAAAAATAAAGTCTTTGAACATTAAGTGTCATTTCTAATACTTCCATAACTATACCAAGACCTTTTTCCCAGTAATCTGCTTCTTCGAGAAAAATTGATACATATCTAAAAATATCATAATAATAATTTGTTTTCAAACTCTATGATTTCTTATTTCGCGATGAACTAAAATTTCTTAGGTAAATCGAAATATAAAATAAAAATCTAATTATATTTCATATGGATTAGAATCATCCATATTGTCTTTTATAGGTTCGAATTCGGATTCTATGAAAAATTATTTTAAGGTACCAATCGATTCAGATTATTTTCCTATTTAAACATTCATTTGTAAATAAGAATTTCTATTCCTGATTGATAAATATTAATTTATGCGTAGGCCAAAGATATACTCGAGATTTTGTCTAGGGAAGAAGATATACATACGAATTTTTACTATTAAATATTTTTAAGATGTGGAGAAAATGAAACTTAGCCTCTAATTAGACATTAAACTTAGACATTCACAAAATTCTCATTATACACTTGTAGAGAGAAAGTTCATCACTAAAACAAAAATTACAACAAAATAATTTTTTTTTTTTTTGCTTTGAAGAATAAGTGAAAACTTTGATGGTATGATTTAAGTATACAATTAAAAACCAAATAACCGTTAAAAAAAACCTTTATTTTTAAAGATTCAAATTCGGTTTTGTTACTTGATTTACCTAACATTAATATTCCAATACCGATTTAGGTTCTTAATATGAAAAAAGTTCTGGTTCATGACCCCTTTATCTTAGGTTCTGATATTTCTATCTAAGAAAGTGAGAATATTTTTTATGAATATATAAATAATTTGCATGCGGTTAGTTTATCCAAGACTCTATTATAATTGACCGATTAAATTAACATATTACTTAGATCCTTTCATCGAAGATATTTGTACGAGTTGATCTTCTAAAGTTTGAGTTATTTCATCAACAGCTTTAATTTTATACATTCCTGATTTTTTATGAGGTTCTGTAATCAATTTCATGTATTTCCATGTTTCTCGAATAGATCTAAAAGCCTACAAAATATTTATTTTTGTATTAGTTCGAATTGCAAGTATTTATTTTCTATAAAAACATTTTTATAAAAGTGTACATAAATTAATTGTAATTACGTTCTCAATGTTTAACTCCATAGAAGCTTTATTTGATATTTCACTTATTTCATTTTCAAAGTTTTCCATTCCCATTTGCATTACAATTTCCAAAGTAAATGTTTCATCATTTTCGTTAAAATCTCTAACGAAAAATTTAAACAATTCTAGCTAATAGTTTACTAATATCATACAATTTGATACCCACGATTGTATTACTCTTCGCACTTCATCCCAATGCCTACTTCTCATTGCTGGATTTTTTAAATCCGTAATTAAAGGTAAAACTCGTCTAAAGACATCCACTGAAATTTTTGCTGTTTCTATAGCTTCCCATTTTCTTTCTCTCAACTCTTTTACTAAATGATTGAGTTTTTTGAATAAAGATTGTACTGTTATTTCCATGTCTGATACTTTTATTTCCCAAAATTTTCCATTTTTATACCTTTCCCAAGCTACATCCCATTGATTTATTGTACTCCAAACTAATTCCAATATGGCTAATTCCTTTAATATTATATTTCAATTCAAATAAAAAAGTACTGTTAAAATTTTTCACTTAAATTCAGAGTAATTTATTTTACTTCTTTAAGTTTTTTTAATGCTGTTGATGGTACGTATTTAATACCAAATAACGTGAGGTCCTCTTTTAATTTTTCTTCTTCGGCTTCCATTGTAGCAATTTGTTTCTTCAATTGATCAATATATGTTAAAACATCTACAAACAAAATATTTAAATATTTTAAAATATAAATGTCGATATTAATGTTTTAATGATGACAATGCTTTCAAAATGAGTTTCGAAATAATCTAAGTACCAGATGACTTCCAATCAGAAGTTCTAGGGGCAGTTTGATAAAAATTCTGTAGAAGATCATGAGCATTTTGCTTTAAAGTATCTTGTTTAGTATACAATACATTTAAAAATTCATCACGTTTGCCTTCTAGCATAACTTCGGCAGTTTCTAAAATAAGCTTATAATCATTCCAAATTTTGTGCATAGTACTATGTCTAGATCGCATGATTTCTGGTACCATTATATTATGTATGTCTATAATAGAACAATATTCAATATTTTATTTTATTTTACTATACCTAATTAATACCCATAATAGAAATATTATCTGCAATTACTGAAAATTCATTTTCTTTCGAGATACTTTCCTTTACTAATCGTTTTCTAAATTCAATAAAATCGACCATTTCTTCTAGTGTCTTTGGTTGTGTCATTACTCTAAAAATATATAAACCAAATAATCGTATGCTCTAAATCTAAAACTAAGCCTTGATGCATTAAAAAATTTAAATTAAGATTAAATGTTAAGTTAATATAATTATGCCAAGTAACTCATTAATTTTTTGATTAATTTAAATTTAATTTTAACTGGGTATATTTTCAACTTGAATAACTTCGAGCTTATTACAACAATATAAAAAAAAAACATATTTTTGTTTCTATTTTCTTTACTTAGTAAAGTTAAGATAAAAAATCACATAAGTTAGGATCCAACTTTACTTATCGAACAATCTCCAAAATAAACTTAACAAGTTAACGAATTTTTTACCTTGCCCGGCTCTTTTATAAACTATATCTTTAACTCACTGGACACTATTTATATGTACATATTCAAAAAATCCTTCAATGAACTTGGCAGTTAGTTCTAAAGTAAGTTGTGAAAAATGGTAAATCCAATTATGGCAATGTGCAATAATTTGCTTAATCATAACATTAGTACAAATTAAAAAATTTGAAATCGATGATACAGAATTAAATTTTTTAATGTCTTGGATATAATTATTGTACCTAAAAAGTATTTAATAATTTTACTTTACTTATACTTAAAAATGTTAAAAAATATTTTTTTACATTATTATCTCCTGATTAAAATTTTCTGCAGAAGGATTGTTGTTTTGGAAACGTTCAAGAAAGTTATGTTTATCAATGGTCCAAATATCGCTGTATGATAATAATGACGACATATATTGTCTAATTTCATTCAGACCAATTTGTGTTGCTAAATATTTGATTTTAAATTATATTTCGTATTAGTAGTGTAGAACTTGATTATTATAACTAAATTTAATTGTTTATAGTTGAAAATATAAATTAATAAATACGCGCATTTTTAAATATCATTTTTATATCACCCAATTAAATATTAGTTCATATTGTTTACTCGCAAAAGTTATTTTGTAAATAGATTGTTAATTTACACGTATCAATTTTATATTGTATATCGTTACAAGTTTGATCTTCAATAAGTTCATAGCCATATGGTATCGATAATTTATTCATCACTTTAAATGTGTAGTGTAATCTTGGTATACTTTTTAAAGACATCATTAAACTTGGTAGTGATTGCATTGAACACATTACCAATGTCAATAAACTTGATGAGTATTTAACCTAATAAACATAAGCAATATAGTTATCAATTAAAACAAATACGTTTACCAGAAATCAGTTGAGCTTTGGAAATACAATAATCTAATCCGAATTCAGGCCCGGTCCAAAATAACCCAAATTTGTGTGTTAAATTTTATTTTAATCCTAATTAATCAAAACCTGCATAGTACGGTAGCGACATAGTTGCGATAATTATAAATTATATCTAATAGTGATTAAAATCACTATCATAAAACACGCTTCGATACAAAACTGTAGATAATATATAATTTTTAGAAGACTTTTTGGAATTTCCCAAAAGTAAATCAACTTCTATTTCCTTAATTATATTACCATACAAGTTTTATTTAAATTAAAAGATTTTAACTCTTAGGTGTCATTCATTAAATTTGATTTCACAAGAAAATAATCGTTTAATTAATTATATATATATATAAGGTGGCTCTCATTTTATAAACTTTCATTGATCGATCTTCGTACCTGCTAATTTTTTTCGTTATTATAAGTAAGTCATTTGGGTAAAATTAAAACCAAATTTTACCCAAATGACTTACTTATAATAATGAAAAAAGTTGGCGGGTATGGAGATCGATCAATAAAAGTTTATAAAATAAGAGCCACCCTAATATATATAACACGCACACAATCCAACATCAATGTTCGATCTGGCTCGATCTGGCCCAGCAGGATCATTTTACATAAAGGTCTGACCTAGCCCGGTTTGAAATATGAAATTAATATTACAGACCATCGCAACTTTTAAACAGAAATAAGTTCAAATCGAATGTGGTTAGGCCGGCATAAACTGATCTCTGATATTTACTTACTTTACGATTTTCCAAACAAACATGAATTTGAAACACTGGAACTGGCCCAAAACCATACCCAACTCTCAGTTCCAACATATTTTCCAGTGAAAATCGTGCATTTAAAATAAGGGATTCGCGAACTAGAATGTCAATATAGTCGACAAATTGTTCCCAGTGTACTATAACCTATTATGATAAAGTTAGTTTATGAATAAAAGGGTTATGTAATTAAGTCGATTAAGAAATACTATTATCTATAATCCGTCACAAATTAAATATAAGTACAAGAAGTTAAATTTACAATGTGTAAGCATGTTTTTGTATATCCGCTCCACTGTCGCTACCAAGAAATAATATTACAAGTAAGAGTATTTTTCAATTTTTTAAAACAAATTTCGAAAAAATTAAATAACACACTCTATTGTAGAAAAGTTTTATGTTTCAACTTAGAATAATATAAACCAACACAGTGAGATTGCGGCATTGTTGAGACAAATATAAATGATCTCCGACAGTGATTTACATTCTTATCAGGTAATACGTTTCTCGATTCATATCTCTTAAATTTCATAATAATTTGTATTTTTATAATTTTACAATTGCTTTATTTGGACTATTATAAAGTTGAGCTGAATAAAATTTGTTTTATATACATGGGTAGTCTCTTTAAAACCCTTCCTGTATTTAGGTTGGGTTGGGTTTTTATTAAAAACATACCAAGCATATTAAAAACATCTCTGGCATATACTATTAAAATTTCATTAAGATCAATGTTTTTAAAAAAGTTTTAAAATTAAAAAAAAAATGTTTTAAAAATTTAAATTTTTAAGTTAGCGTAATTTTGAGGTTTTTCTTCATTTTTAAAATTGAGGAGATTTATTCTAATTTTTGGCGACTATTGGTCTAGTGAGAGCTGATAATTTTCAAGGATATAAATAAAAAACGCACACCATCACAAAAATAATATCTTTTCAACTTTGCATTGATCTAACATATATAAAATACAAATAAATTTATATAGTTATAAATATTTTTGATCATACAAATAAAATTAAAAAAATTTTGTGTTATTCATTTTTTTTATGCAAATAAAAATTTTCTTCAAAAACTAATAAATAATATATGCCAAAGTTTTTTATAATTCTTAATAGAACTAAGAAAACTAAAATTATTATATTATATTCATTACTTCATTAATGTGATCTTCAAATCCTTCATATACGATTGTTCCATAGCGAATTATTTCATTGTAATTAGCTAATACCTTTTTCATTACTTTATTTCTGACATAAAAATTAACCATAAAATATTAAATTAATTACATAAAGACGTATTTAGCCATACTTGTATATTTTTGCTTGATCCATAAAATCGTTTATATCAATTGCTTGAGTTAACTGAAATTTAAATAATGGTGTATTTGCTATTTCTTCACATAAGAATAGTACTTCCATGACGCTTTGTTTGTAATCATCTTCAAACATTTGAGTCTAAATGAAATAATTTATTATTAAACTTCTCATTTTTTTTTTTTTTAATTTTTGTAAAATGAAGCATTAATTGATTTGATTTTATTATTTTTTTTTTTTAATAAATTCTTACTTTTACTGAAAATATCCTAGTATAATAACCTTTCATTATATGTCTGATTTTTACAATTTTACAAGTATTAAAATATATTACTAACTGTTTCTAATAATGTGTAACATTTGATAAGATAATTTTCAATATGAGTAATATGATGCCATGTGTATTCTAAAACCATTGGTGAAAATATTTTATTACAATTTTGTATCTTTTTCTCGAATAAAAATATTTCTTGTTCAGATAAACCTAACCGATAAATACATAAACTTTGTTAGTTAATTTAACCACTATTCATTTAATTAATATTTTACCTGCAGCAAAATAATCATAACATTTTATCGTCATATTTATTATATTATAAACACCTTTAATTTTCGGTGTCATTTCTGCAATATGTGTCACTACATAAGGCATCTTAAACTCAATAAGTAACCATGAATCTACTTCATTCATTAGTATATGCATTTCACTAAAACAAAGATACTTTTTATTAATAAATTTATGATTATAGATTAAAAATTTAATTTTCGTACTCATCTAAATTTATTTTAAAATTCCAAAGGCATTTTGATTTTCTAGTCCCTGATAATAAATGCTTATCAAGCTTTTTTTCATAATTGTTAGCATAAAGTTTATCAGTCCACATTTTAAATATAGTTTCGGTCATTTTATGATAAAAATCATAATATTTTTTGTATGTTTGAAGAAATTCCTTGATACTTGGGCATGTTAAAAGCCAAGGACGATCAGCTAACATCTAATTTAATATGTTAAACAAAGATGTACTGAATTTTGATAAATTTAAATAAATAAATATTTATTTCAAAAGCATATTAAGTTTTCAATTACATGACTAAGAATTAATTATCAATTATTAATTATATATTTTAATGCTTAATGGTTTGAACATTTTTAATGTAATAGTCAATTCATAAGCATAAATATTTTACCAACAAACTTAACTTACTTTCTTATAGCTTGTGATAAGTCTAAATTTAATCATAACCATAGAACATATTCCTGGATACTTGGGTAGAAATGATGGAATACGGTGGATATTACTTGGTATCAAGGCCATAACAGATGTTATAGTGTCTGTTAATAGCTTATATATTTCATTTGTCTTTTGTTGAAAGCACAATTTAAGTTGTGGCCAATGAGAAAAATAGTGTAAGGATTGTAAAACGTATAATGAGTCTTCTAAGTTGCACGTGGCATTTATTGCATCGTTCAATACATGTTCAACTTCTGAACATAATTCTTGTACTTCATCACGAAATCTAAATTGATAATTACAATATTTTTATTGAAAAATTACTAATACATATTACATTAATCATAGGCGATTAAATTTCTATTATTTTTTAGTTAAGTTTAATAAAAATAATAAAATTACATAATTTAATAAAAAAAATTCCAAAAAATTTATTTAATTATTATTGATGAAAAAATGATAAAAATATAAATTAATAAAACTACTTAAAATATATTTTAAAAAAAATGTTTATCGGTTTTTAACATTTTCGAAAAAGTTATGGCAATTTTAAGTACAAAAAACATCCCGATAAAATGTAATTTTTATCGCAAACATTACATTTTTTTTTAAATTTTCGACAGCCATTTGCACATAGAAGATAAGATGTCGGGACAAATTTTTTTTTTTCATTTGATAGTATATAACATAACCTTTGATTTGATATATGTTTAAAGGACGCAGTATTTCCGGAACATTTTCAAAAGTTCAGTTGAAAAAGATCTATGTTTTTTACAATATTTTAAGTTTTGAACGCCCCCTATATAAGGGGAAATTGTCCAATTTTAATAAAAAGTATGTCAAATGAAAGATGTACTTATAATGTATTTAGAAAAAAAAAATTTGTGCTGATATATACATTTTTCAAAAAGTTATAGCATTTTTAAGTTGAAAATTTAAAATCGAAAATCGAAAATTTTAACACAAAAATAGTGTTTTTTTAACTACGGCAGCCGTTTAAATGTAGAAAAAAAAGTGTCGGGACAAATTTTTTTTTTTCATTTTGTAGTACATAAAATAAGCTTTAATTTGATATATGTTTAAAGGACGCAGTATTTCCGGAACATTTTCAAAAATTAAGTTGAAAAAGTTAATTTTTGTAAAAAAGTTGCTATTTTAAATCTCCCTCAATGAGCAGGTTAAGTAATAGATTTTCAAAAAAATGATATCAAATGAAAGGTAAATATCTAAGGTTTTAGTATAAAAAAAAATTATGTTGATTTGTTGATTTTTCAAAAAGTTATGGAAGTTTTAAGAAAAAAAAGTGAAAAAATTTCGAAAATTAGCGATTTTTAAATTTGTAATTTTTTTGGATATTTCCCCCATTTGCGGGGAACGAGGGAATTTTTTTCAATTTTTAAGGGTAATGTCTTCAACTAGATACGATTTGTGATCTTTTGACGTATTTTTGAAAGAAATCGGTCCAGTGAGAGCTGAGAAAAAGTGGCAACAGACATAAAAAAAAAAAAAAGAAAAACACATCATAGTAAAATTAATACCTTCTCCGCTTCGCATCGAAGCTAAAAAATAAATTTACTAATATATTTTACTCAGCTTGTTAATGTATTGAAACCACTTCATAGTTTGCAAATCAAAACTTGTTCTGATAATAGTTTGTATATGTTTAATTTTTTCGTCAAAACGTATTTCAATTGATTCTATAATTTTCTCAAAATAAAATCCTTTGACAAATGAAAATATTGGCTTTGGTATATGAAGTTGTTGTGTATTCATTCTAATATAAGTAAATATATCAATAAATTTAATTAAATTATAACACATTGTAATATAGAAAATATATTTTAAATACAAACTGTTATATATTTTAAATTAAAATTACAATATAATGCCCTTAGTAGCATTTAGTAATCCTATTACCGTAATCGGTTTAAGAAAACTGCAAAGTTTTAATAGAAAATACTTAAAATAAAAAATAAATAGATTATCTATAATAATTACGATTATAGATAATAGATAATTATTATATTTGGAGAATATTAGACAATTTTTAAATTAAAAATTTGTTATTTACCTGAATAAAAAAGTTGTGATTTTTTTTATACTATCAACTAAGTAAAAATTGATTTTTTTGCCATCATAATATTTGAATAAATATTAAGTTGTTTAAATAATTTTTATACTAAATAATTCACACTTTTAAAATCATGATATATTTAGTTTAAACAATTTACAGTTTATCTTTTAATAGTTCATAACTATTCTAGTTTAGTTTAAATTAAATATTTTTTCTAGTAATCTCAAGAATATTTTTTTCTATATTGCATCACTAAATCAAAGGTAAAAAACAAAATGTACAGTTTTTATCTTACCACTTATTTTACTAGATGTGATGTTTCAATTTGTAACTTTTATAATCCAACTAGTAATATATTATTTTTTATTTTATTATAATTGTTCGAAAGCATAAGTTATCTAATACACCAACGCTTATTTTTTACTATAAATGAAATAAAATATTACCTTTTAAACACCATTAAAGCTTGACAAATATATTCGATGTCTTTTAACCGATCCAAAAATGCATACATTGATCTAGCCTTAACCCATATTTTTCCTTTATAGTTAAATTTGTGAAGTTTTACCGACTATAATCGTAAATAAATAATGTCTAATAAGACACGTGTTAAATAAGACAAAATATTTGAAATCAAACCTCTGTATACAAATCAATGTAATAATTACAACAATAAATACATTTGTGCAATGAATCAATGGTAGAATCTACACCGCCGTTAAATAATAAATTAATATCTATAGCTCTTCGACACAAAAATATCAGTTGATTTCCTAAATAATTGCAGAGTCGATTAAGGTCAGACCTGTAAAAATAATTATCTACTATTAAAAAATAATTATTAAATACCGCTTAATTGAGCTAATTTATAACAAAAAATAATTTACGGTTTATTATAAAATGGTGATTCTTCAAAAATAAATATAAATTTGGCAAATATTTCTGGTAAAGCATCTAAGATTTCGTCAAGTGATGAAATATTATATAGATCTACACATAATTTTTTTACTATTTGAAGATAGTTAATATTTGACTCAGCTTCTTGTAATCCAATCTGTAGTCAACAAATCAAAAAATTTAGTTAATACTTGGAGTTTATGAATATAATGGTGACCCCTATCATCTTTTGTATTGTAATTCTAATAAACCTTATTGTACATATGGGGGTAGTTAAGTTATAAAAGGACATAAGTCTAAAAAATTTGTTTTTTTAACGATTTAGCTTATAACTAGATAAGAAGAAGCATAATTTTAAAAAATCATCCCATTGCAAAAGAACATATCACCATGTACAACAAATAAAGCAGTAACTCAAAAAATATTGACATTATGAGGTATTTGAATTTATATTTTACTCTTCTTATAATAACTTTCATCAAAATATAAAAAATTTAGCATGAATCGGAATTAAACAATTAAAAAATAAGAAAAAGTGAGTTACTGCTTTATTTGTAGTACATATTGATATTATGTTTTTTTTTGTAAAAAAACAATTCATATATGAATCATTTAATAACTGTATATATACAACTGTATAGATTATTTTTAAAAATAATAAAAATCTAGTATTTATTTGTGCATAATTATAAATTCAGAAAAATTATTAGTTTACGGATGTTTTACACGAAATTATAAAGTAAAATATTACTTTGTTTGATCTATATCTTTAAAATGTTAACAAAAAACTTTAAAAATATTATTAGTTATAATTATGAGGAAGATATTCGGTCCAAAGAGAAACAATATATGAAGGCAAATATGAAATACGAAGTAATAAAAACTTAGAAGAAATATATAACGAATACAATATTGTTGGAACCTTAAAAATCGTGCAAATAGGCTGGGCCGGACATGTATCAAAATGACTACTTGGAAAAATAACTACATAGAAGTCAAACGCAAAGAGACCCAGAGAACGACCCAGACAAAGATGGGCAGATAGAATTAAAGAAGATCTGATGGTGCTGGGAGTAAGGAACGTAAAAGAAAAAGCAAGCAACAGAAATGATTGGTGACAATATGTTGTTGCGACAATGGGCCATAAAGGACTGTAAAAAGCCAAAGAAAAATATGAATAATTATAAATTATGTATATATATATATAATACAATATATTTAGCTTAGTGATTGAATTATAAACATTAAAGCTGTAAGTTTAATACATTTGCAAGTTTTGTATTATCTTATGATTTAAAGAATGGGGGTGTGATAAAAATTTATTATATGTCGAGTATTAACTCATAATAAGTAATAAATATGTAATTAAAATTTTAAGCTCAATAAGTCCTTAACTCCTTGATAACTAAGCCAGTTACTTTGATAACATGTTTTTGATAGACCATAATTAGATATATAATTAATAAAATTATTATTATTTATTACCGAAAATTCACTAAATAATTTTTTGAATGTTGCAGTGGAAACTGGTCTACCCTGTTCTAATATTTCCAAAATTTCATATACACTTTTATAATCAAAAATAACCATTATATACCTAAAATCAGTCACTAAAATTTTTTTTTACTCGTAAGAAAAAAAGTTATTTTGTAAACTGTTAATGAAAATTTATTTACTAACATCTTTCCTCCCAAAAATTGATCTCATCAATTATATGTTCCATATAATATTCACACATTGAAGCATTTCGACCATCATCACATAAGCGATTCAATATTTCAGAATAATAATCTTTTAGAATACCTAAATTTTTATCAAAATAAAAACATAGTATTAAAATAAAATCATATTTATTCTATTTATCTCATTATTTTTGGTTTAATATTAAAAAAAAAAATTATGTTATCTAACCAAATTACAATCTATTTTTTAAATTTAACATTTTAATTAAAATAAATGACTCACTTTCAAGTATATTTAGTGTTGTTTCACTAATAATTGTTGTTTCGGCAAAAAATTCAACAGGTAAAATTTTTGAATATTTGAAACGACAGAGCTCATGAATTGTATACTTATTTTGTTTATAGAAATTATACTTCTCAACTACATTTTTCATTAAGGACTTATTTTTAATTTTATTTATAATCAAACTTCATAAAAAAGAAGAAAATTAAAAAGGATACAATCTGGCCAATAAAATAAATAGGGATGTATCAATGAATTGAGAAGCATAAACATGGCCTCATCAATAGCCGTCTTAAGTGTACCCCATTGAACATAATTATCGAAATTTTCATCGTCTAGGCGAACATCATTGCCATTTTCGTTTTTTGCTGGTTTGAAAAACCACGCCAGCCGTTCGGCGCGTATATTTGGTATTCGCGAATCGCTTCGAAGAAAATGACCATCAAAGTATAAACATAGTACGGTTTGGTTAGTAGAAACAAATCTATTTACTTCTTTTAAAGTGTCCTCACTCCAAACCGATTTATTTATATTTGGTAGATCAGTATGTAATTTAACGCGTTTAACCTGGAAGATAAGATAATGTAGTAGTTCAATAACTTCGATATTAAAAAATTAAACATACTAGTCTGTCTTTCAGTTTTGTATCCATTTTCAATTTAACACAAAAATGAAAAATTCCATTACTAAATTATACGTTACTATGTTACCATTAAGTGGAAAAAGTAATCTAAAATGAAATTGATAATTTGACAACTATATATTTACATATATATATATATAAATATTTAATATGTACGAATTATTTTTCATCATTAATTAACATTTTAACTTGACATTTTTTAGGAATTCTTATAAGAAAAATAACAATTGTATAATGTGACGCTTTTTTTATAAATAAAAATATAAATTTGGTCTTATACTTTGAATTTTATCAAATTTCATAAAAATTTACATTTCTCACTTAAAATAATTTAACTTAAAAATAAAAGTGACATTGAACTCAACCCATAACAAATATTGTCTTTGAGTATTTAATCCTCCACAAAGACTAAAATTAACAGAAGAATTTTGATTCTTCTACTAATTCCTCCAAAAGGTTGCTAAAAGAAACACTTCCTGAGAACTCAATATTCTGGTTTAAATTATAAAAATATTATTTTTATAAAATCAACATGTTAACTTTCTAAAATAATTATATGAAATATTTAAAATGGTCTGAGACAAACATTACATGCCTTACGTGAACTAGTTATGAATGAAAGTAATAATGTATTATAATAAATAATAATAATAAATTTAAAAAAATGATGTATTTTATGATACTTTAGACAGATGAATTAACAAAAAAGATAGAAAAGGTAAACAATGAGCTCGATGATACAAGAGGTGACCTTTTACATTGCCAATATGATCGAGACAACTGCTACAAAAGTCACTTCGATTTAGTAAGAGATTTAACAAGGTTAAAAAACATAAATGAAACTTTAGAAGAAATGTAAGTATTTAACTGATTTGTTTTATCAAACCATCTTTATTGTTCGATTGTTCGGCTTTACCTGATTATAATTTCTAGAATCATTTAAGATTAAATCTTACATCTTTTGTAACATCTTTAAAAAAAATCAAAATTCTTCCTCGCCACCATAATCTTATGTCAGTAAGAGATATGTATCAGATATATCCCCATAATAAAAATCCAAAGGATTTTAATGTCCAACTTTAATTGCCATTCATGAGATGATGCGGCTTTTAAAGTTGTTAAGCAATAAATCCACAGGTGCACCCGTATGGCATGTTGCACCATCATGTTATAACCACTTTTGCTCCTTATTAATTTCGCGTTGTTCCAATTCAGAAATAAAATAGTCAGTTAAAATCTACCTAAAACAAAACCCATTGATATTTAGTGTTTTATTATCATCCTCATAAAAAAAAAAACGGACTGACTAGATAACACCTCCACTTCAAACCGTCATTCTTTGTGGAAGTATTTTTTATGGGTTGTGAAACCCCTAGATCCTACAGTTTTGTTTATTGATAGCATCATTCAAATGGAAATAAGCTTCATCTCTAAAAATACTTTTGATTCAAAATTCGGGTCGTTATTTTACACACTCAAGAACCATTCGACAAACCCCTGTCGTTCAGCCGGTTTGAGTTCTTGCTAATGTGCAAATATAAATCTTTTGTTAAAAATCTATGAACGACAGGTTTAATGGGTTTGATCAAAATATTTTCAAGCATTATCTCTTGATTTTCAAAAGGTCGACTGTCACGAAGATGTCCTGTATAGGACATACAGGACATCACAAAAAAAAAGAATTAACAATTATAGGAGTTTAGGACAAACTCCTATAATTGTTAATTCTTTTTTTTTTTTTTTTTGTATTAGAAATATACAATCTGTACGATGAGCACAATAAGCATATATGATAAGAGTAGAAAAATTTACATGAATACATTTTGATGGAATAAAACAACTCATTAGTGACACTTCCCATGATTTTTTTAATTTTTTATTTTCTTAGAATTTTTATTTTATATTTCCAATGACTTAATTATATTATTATTAATTGATATTAGTAGAAAGAAGATCACGGCACCACTTACGTTTTAAACGTCTGGGTGGGTCTCCAGGTATGGACAAGGTTGAGAGGTTTTTTATTAGGGGATTAGAGTGGGAGAGTAATTTACTGTGGAATCTTTTATAGTAGGAAATGGCTTCTTCATGAACTGTTTTTAAGTTGCGATCGTTATGAAGTGTATAATTAGAGATATAAGGACGTGCATTGATTAGTCTTCTTAAGACAATATTCTGAAAGCATTGAATTTTATTGGTATTGGATTTTTTAGCATTGCCCCATAACTGAAGGCCGTAAGTCCATATGGGTTTTAAAAGGGATTTATGGATTAAAAGTTTAACATTAATGTTTGTAAATTTATTGTTTGTGATTAATGATTTGAGAATTGTTAATTCTACAATAACTATACAAAAAATAATCATAATATTATGAAAATATTTTAAAATTAGCTTTTTAGTAAGTCTCCTAACCTTCCTATTTCATTTATCTTTATATTTTATTAGGGAGACAAAAGATGACTGATAATGATCAGTTTACCTGAGTTTTCTGAAATCTGAAATACCGCTTATTAGTTATAACACGAAAGATTACTTTTGTAATTTTAGAGAAAAAAAATTGTTATTTAAATTAATTCATAATTTAATCAATTTTTAAATATTAACGCGAGATAATAATGGTATATTTATCACGGAAAACTTACAATTAAAAAATGAAAATAATCTTCTTATACAGCAAAGAAAAAATGATATAATAGAAATGGAAAAGTTAAAACAGGATAAGATATACTTAACCTCTAAAATAATTTCTCTCAAACAACAAAATGATGATCTAAATTTTGCTATAATTAGATTGAATGAAAAACTAGAATCAATGAATCATGGTGAAAAAAAATAACAATGATTTATTAAACAAATTTGGTTACATTTCAAAAATTCTTCGTATATTAGAAAATTTTTATGCATAACAGAATCGAATTTAAATAAATAAAATAAAACTGTAAATTATGATGTCCATAAATTTGATAAATTAGTGGGTAGAATCAGAACTCACAAGTAGCTATCACAGAATTTTAACGTTACTACATTACTTGATATGTTTACGGATGTATCCACGTTTTCAGTTATGAGCTTACATTTCGGACCTGTTGCAGAGTCCATCTTCAGAGAGATAGTTACAAGCTCCAAGTTACAATTATAATGTTAGCTTAACTTGTTTACGGTGTGTTTTTATATCAGTTGATAACTGATAACATCAATGTTATTTATCTGTTGTTGTTTTTGTTGTGTTGTTGACAACTGACAGTTTATTTTTTATGTCCGGTTTTTGTTTTTGTTGTTGTTTATGGCATTCTTGGCATTTGACTCTTCCTTTTTTTACACCGGCATTTTTCTGTTATGTTAATTATAGTTTTTTCACGCATTAAATTAGTTTCTTTGTTGTATGTTGATTTTCTTTTTGCCTGTTGTATGATAGGAAACCAAGTCTTGCTAATAAACCATCCATCTTCTCTGTTGTAATTTTCTAGACATTTTTCAATTTTTTTTGCTTTTTTATACATCCGTTTGCCAAAATGAACTCCTTTGTATCAGTATTTTGACTTTGTCAAATTGGACTCGTGTACACTTTTTGGCGTGTTCAACTACTGCGGATTTTTCTGTCCTTTATAAATCTACATCTTTTTTGTGTTTTTTTATTCTTGCTGTAATAGCTCTTCTTGTTTGTTCAATGTATGATTTATCACATGAACACGGTATTTCATAGACTTCGGGTGTTTGCATTTCTGACAGTTTGTCTTTTGAATTTCGGAGTAGTGATCCTATAACTGTGTTTGGTTTGGAGACTGTTCTTATTTTAAATTTATTTGCGATTCTTGAAATGCGGTCGATAATTGCTTGTATGTACGGCAGTATTAGTGTTCATTTTTTTTCGCTTCTTTGTTTTCATCATCATTGTTGCACGTTGTATTTTTTCCGCTTTCCTAAGTGCGTTGTTTATGTTTCTAATTGTGTATCAATGATTTTGTAGTACTTGCCGTAGATATGATTTTTCATCTTTCACGTGTTCTCCGTCAGCTATTCTAACAGCTCTTGTTTTCATTATATATAGTAACGTCATTTTTTTGAGGTGCAGTGGTATAAATCGACATATAAATATCTGGCAGTATGTGTACTTTTTCGATACACTTCCGTGCTGAATTTTCCATTGTACTGTTTTTTGACCAATATACATCCAAGAACGGCAATTGTTAATTTTTCTCGGTTTCAAATTGTGAACTGTATATAAGCACGTTTGCTGTTTAAATATCGCAAGAAAGATTTTAGTTGATCAACGCCGTGTTGCCATAAAACAAATATGTCGTCTACGTATCGTAACTACATTTTGCGTTTTTAAGTGCATGTACTCATTGTTTTATCTTAAACCATTCCATGAGTATGTTAACAAATACTGGTACTAGTCTTTATCCTATTGCCATTCCATCAGTTTGTTCATAGATTATATTTTCACTTTTTTTTATGATATTTTCACATATACCATGTAAGTTTTGATGCAGCCCTGGTCTTACGTTATAAGTTGTATTATGTTTAACAATATTTTACGTTTATTGATATATAACATATTTTTAGTTTTCAAATACATTTTGAAAACAATTTTCATTTTAAATATCATAACTATAACGTTTTTTATCCTACAAAAAATGTTGAATATATTCTTAGGATGACATTTTAAAATATATTATTTGTTGTTTGTTTAACTGACATTTTCGTGATAGTTGCGAGTTTTGATTCTAGTACGAAGTATGTTAATATCAATTAACTCATGCCATGAAATTTTTTCGAATGTTTTGGGTATAAAAGCGTAACGGAAAATTGTTGAACGAAAACAGCAACGAATGAAAGTTGCTCCAGAAGTCTACCCCAAAGATCGACTTTGAGAAGTGTTTTGAGGATTGGAAAAGCGTTGACACAAAGGTATAATATCTAATAGGGACTTTTTTGAAGGCGACAATATTAATTTAGACGAATAAATATTTTTTTCAAAAAACAAAAATTTGTTATTTTCTGAACACACCTGGTACGCTCACTTTTTTTAATTATTAAGATAAGTATAGATCTAGTGATACTGAAATATCGTGTTTACAATTTCTTTTTTTTAACTTATAGTATGTAACATAAGCTTTACTTTAACATATGTTAAAAATTCAGAGTAATTCTGGAACGTTATTAAAAGTTAAAAAAATTCTATATTTTTACGTATGTTTCAAGTTTTGACCCTCTTGCATTAGGGAAAATGGTCAGACTTTTAAAAGTATGACAGATAAAAGGAGCAAGTATAATATACTTATAAATAAAGATTGTATTAATCCATACTTTTTCCAAAAAGTTATAGCAATAAAAAGTTGAAATTAAAAATTTTAACACAAAATAGTATTTTTTTTTAAATACAGCAGCCATTGGAACATATCACATGGTTTGCAAATTTTTTTCTTTAATATTTATAGTATGCAACAAATTGTTGTCGGCCTGGCCTAGTCGATAGAAACATATTTCGGCGCACAGGGTCAATTCCTGGATGCCAACGAGTTATTTCTTATGATTTTATCATTGGTAGTGTCTGGTCTTTGGTACAGCTGGCCATTATTGACTTAGCCAATAACCAACTTTGACTCTTTAACATGTGAAGGAAAACAAACTTTCTATAGCATGTTAAGTTACGAAAATAGAGGGATGTAAAACTGATCATTATTAGTATGTTACTTAAGTTTCATTTAGCATATGTTTAAATGATACAGTATTTTCAAAAATTAAGCTGAAAAAGTTAACTTTTCATACAATAGTTTCTATTTTGAATCCCCCCGTGAAAAAATATACAATATTATTATTTTAACAAATTAATGAAAGATTTTATAACATAAAATAAGTACATAATAATACAGTATGTTGATGATCTAGTTCAATTAATAACATAATTAAATAATTTGGGTAACTCATTCAAGCATATTAATAATATTTCACAAAAAAAAAAAAAAAGTACTGTAATAGCACACCTCTAAAACATTCTACCATAAAAAAATTATAAAATTTATACATTTCTACAAAATAACTCTATTGTTCAGCTATCATTATATCTGAAACAGTGAAACCAGAATTTTTTATTTTCATTGAGTTATCTTCAATAGATCCATTATCACTACTATTAGAACTTTCTTCTAATGAATCATCTAAAGATGAGTCTTGTCTACCCATTAATCCTAAAATATATAAATGAATAATATATTTAAAAATCATTAAATTCAATTATACATAGTTCACTATATAGAAATTTTATTTACCAAATGTTATTGAATCATTTTTTTCATTTGCACAAACTTCTGAACCACAAAGATGACGCCAGGATAATGCAAATACAGCTATAGCAAATAACAGATTGGTACCTATTCCCACACATGCAGAAAGTATTGGCCAATGGAACATTAAATACCTCAATCCACTTAGCCGTGCTAGAACTGTCATACTAGCAGAATAAATTTGAACATCATGATTAAGAACTTCAAAATGCACATCTGTGATTGGATGAAGCTTAAAGAATATTTTATATTACAAAAAAAACTACCAACAGAAGTAAAAAATGAATTTTTTAAAGCATATATTTATGAAGGTTAAGAGATAATATACCAATTAACATTTTGATATTTATTCGTTATTTAGAAAATCTTTGTACTTTTATCTCTTTAATGATAAGTTATATAGAGTGACGAGTAAAAAGAATTCAAATCAATACTCCCTCTATAAAAAAATCCTAGAAACTTAATTAGAATAGATAGGAACTGATTAATTTACAAGACTTTTTTTTTAAAATATATATTTTAATAGCATTTTCTCCATGGCAAAACTGCATATCTTGGCATTTAAAAATTTTTTTTTTAGAATTCTATACTTACAATATTGACACATATTTAAACCTTTTTGGAATAAAAAATCTCTATTTTTTCTTGAGTTGATTGAATATTAAAAAACCCATTTCCATTGTTAAATGTACAAAAATTATGTTTTCTTCCTCCTAAATATCAAAAAGTTTAAAAATCAAAATATGAAATTTTACCATGGAGAACAAGCTTGTTATTATTGCATAACATGACTAATTAAGTCCTCAAAACTTTAAATAGTTAAAACTAATGTAGGATTTAAAAATATTTGCTAACCAGAATTATTGAAAATTGACAAAAAATAATTTAAAACTAAAAATACATATATTTATTCATGATATATTTCTTGATTTTCTTAATTTTTTTACCTGATCTTCTACAAATTCAGTATACATTTCTAGTTCCATGAACTGTTTTTCTTCTGCTATTCCAGATAAAAAGAGTGGTGCCATTAAAACGGTACGTACAGTGCGTAAGATAGTACTAACATAACGTAATCGAGCTGATCTACATGATGAAGAAATTAATTGTCCATGTTTATCAGCTAAGCGAGCACACACCATAAACATACCTGCATTTTTAACAACTGCTTTATAAAACTTTAATAAATAATTACATTATATACTATCATATTATTCATACCTACTCTCTCATTTACTGGAGACTCTGGTAAATCTAACTTGATTAACATTTGATACTTTTGACCAACCATCATTAAACTGCCCTTTGTAGGTAATCTAACATGAGCCGATGGATAATCGCACAAGCCTTTATCATTGTAACACGGTCTTTTACAATAAAATAATAAAATAAAGATTAGATGTTAATATGTTTACAACAAATTTAAGGTTGAACTAACAAAGCATATTAAAAAATATCAATAGACATACTTATACTGCATGTGCACTGGACGAGTATACACTAAAGAAGGCATATATGCAGTATAAAAAGCAACATATAAAAAAAGGGATATCCAAAATACAGTAACCACTGACATCCAAAATATAGATCCTTGATATGCAGCTAGCATAGCTCGTAAAGTTATGTTACGAACTTTATTATTCACTGCTTTTTTTTTGCGATCCAAATACCTTGTTATAAACCCAAAGCCGAACATAATTATCAAATCTTAAATAAATTTAATATAATTTTAAATTTATATGGACATCAAAAAGTGAAAATAATTGAGGAAGTAAGAATTGAGCTATACTTCTTAAAATAAAAATGAATAATAGGTATCACCTAACTTGTAAATATACTGTAACGAATAAATATTTTGAATTTAGTATATTTCTGTAAAACAACGAACAATCACGTCGGAACCAATGTTACTAAAATTCAAAACTGATAACACAACCACTTGTTAAACCATGATATAACAATGTGTAACCATTTATAACAAGTATTATATATCTATAAATTATACAAATTTTTAGAATAATTTAACCCATATTTCTATGTTTTGGTCATAATTACATGGTTATGTAAAGAATAATTATTTACTGTAATTATTCACATATATATCTGTGTTAAGGTTAACACGTGATAAACTTCAATGATGAAGGGTTGAACTATTTTCATCTAATACAACCAATATATTTTCAGGATATCTACGAAAGTAAATAATGCACCAACGCAAAATTAATTATGTCACTAAAGACCTTAATCTTTTTTTTTTTGACATTACTTACTTTACTAGCGAAAAAAAAAATTTTAGCATCCGCCCTTGAAGAAAGTTTTAATATGAATTGATTTAAAATACTATATAAAAAATTATTTATTAAAAAAAAAATGTTGTAAATCAGAAAAAAGAAAACATTTATATTATTTGTCTTAATCTGACGAAGACCTAAAATTTTACTCTTATAAAGATCGCAAGGGAAGCAAATATATTAATCATATCTGTTATACGCTTAATGAAAGATTCATTACAGAAAATAAAAGTGCGTGCGAAAGGTTTCACGTTGTTTGAACGCAAAAAACTTGCACTAATTATAACTTAATTACTTAACTGGTACCACAAATAAGAGGAAGGCGTTGTAATTGGGTTTCTTTAGGTTGTATCCCCATACTCCAACTAATATGTCAAGCATTTATTTAACTGTAAACTAAATAAAAGCTTATGCAAGATTTAGACTTTTACTAATTACATATATACTACTATGTTTTTTGAAGATTAATATCCTAGAAAGTTGTCTTTTTCTAGCATAACATTTTTTGAAAAATCCATAAACTAAAATCACAACCCTAATTACAATAAGAGTACACACAATCAACATGGGAATGTCAAAATTTAAATATTTTGTAACTAATAATAGTTAAAAATTATGCATAGTTACGCAATAAATATCATATCTTTAATATAATTTTAAAATAACCAAAGCATTTATATATTAATAATTAAAGCATACCTTAAGTCATATTAGAACTTAAGAAAATGTATGTTATAATATGATTTAATAAAAAAAAAAATTAGGTTTTACATAATACGTAACTAATTTATATAATAGTTTAAATCAAAAGGCGTATATGGATTAATAAGCTTTATAATAAAAAAATTAGTTCTACATTTTTTTGTTATATTTGCTTATCACGAAAATTGAAAATTGAGACTAAATCTGCTAAACTAGACTTAAAAGAAGCAAAAAAAAAAGTCATATATACTATTATTATATTGCTCATGAATAGTAAAGTTATAAAATGTATAACTTGTTATTATATTATAAGAAAATTTAATTTATAATATATAATATAATAACAATATCAATATCAATGATAATTAAAGGGTTTATTTCAAAAATTAAGTCGATATTTTTAATTTTAGGAGAAAGTTAATTAAGTTTTAAAATGCAACTTATTACAAATTATTCATTATCTCATGAGCAGTTACAATTGTGGTGCAATTGCTCCGAATATTTATAATTATTTTCTTTAATTTATAATAAATTTAGATAAAAAACACTCTACTATTCCGACGAAAGAAATGAATATGCTAATAATTTAAAAAATATGGAGTGTATATAATAAATACACTATTTATGTAATTCGTACCAAAAATTTAAATATTTTATTCTAAAGAATGCATGAGTGTAATGAGTTAGACTTATATGTACACAGAATGATGAATTATATTTACACGATGAAAATACAATTTTTTTTTATTTAGGATAGTCAAAAATTTATGTGCTCTCCTATAACAAACCTCAATTATGCTATTAGGGTATGACTTCTGTAAGTTTTTGTAGAGATATAAATGTAATTAAAATGAATCATACTAATGAATAATTTTGTAGACTTCAGGTAAACTATTTATAAAGAAAAAAAACATTTAATGTACGTCAAAATGAATGCATTCCTTTTTTAATGAACGTGTTCATTAGACAAAAACATTTATTTGTGTATGATTGAGTCCTTTTTTACACATTAATGTGAATGCTTAAATTTTTTAGTGAACGTTCCACACACCGTTCAAATAATAGCGATTATTAGTGATCCAACCAATAAGACAATTATTCTAATTAATTAAATGTTTTTCTAATAAAAAAAGAAACAAATCTAACTTCTTAATTAGATCATCATTTAATAAATAAGCTAGTTATTATGTATATTACCATTTGAAAAAAAAATAAAGTTGATACCTATATAAGAGTATTTATGTATAAGGAATAAACATAAAAAATACTTGAAATGAAATGTGTTGATAAAATATTTAACAAATGGAACCAAATAAATAATTATCAATGTTATTTGTATTTTATTGAAAAATCTTCTGGTTTTTAAATTCGGTTGATTCTGTATTTTTACATAAAAAATTAGAGTTTGAGACAATAATAGCACCTACAAAAATTTTTAATCTAATTGCGTCAATTGGTTAGACCAATGTGAATATTAAAAACTTCGTATTTGTATTTTCACGGTAATATTAGCATCATATTTTGGCTGTTTTAAATAAAAATTATTGCAACCTTAAATGATAAGTATTTAAAGAAAAATATTTTGAATATTGTTGGTTAATCCCCTTCCACTATTTATTACATGAGGTATACAATTTTTAATTTAGTTATGATTTCCGAATTTTTAAAGTAAATGGTCACACTGAAATTCGATAACATAACCGTCGTAACCGTTGCTAATGAGTGATTTTGTCTTTCTTTTGAACACACAGTTTTTACTTCTCTAAGAGCTGTTTCCCGGTGAACCATTGCAATTTCTAAGGCTCAAATTTTTACGAATGCTATTTAATTTTTATTTTATAAATTGTTACTTAATTTCATAAAATATTTTTCTGTCCATCAAGAAGTTAAGTTTCTGTTCTTAATTAATTACTATTAAATAGTAGCCATGAGGGAAATAGTGCACGTACAAGCCGGACAGTGTGGAAACCAGATTGGAGCAAAGGTGATATTAGTTTAGATAACTTTTATTGTTAACTTGTGTCTTGAACTAAATATCCATTTATTACTTTTTTTTTTCAGGTTCTAGTAATTAAACTAATATCTTAATTATTATGTATTGTTGATAAATTATATTTTTAATGCTAATCTAATGTTAAAATAGCATAGTCGTTAGGTGTTTCCGTCGTTTATTGTTAATGCCAACTAAAAAGGCAGTAACTACATTTTCGTAAAATAAAATAACACATTTTGTTTTAAATTTTCCTAAAACAACAATGTATTTTTTCACCAATCAAGTGAACATTTATATAATAAAACAAAAAATTGAAATAATAATTAAATAATTATTTAAATGGCATGTATAAAAAATTTTAAAATTTTATTATTATATTTCTTGCTGGTGATGAGGATAAAATTACTAATGTATAATGGCTATTAAATATATTTAAAAATGTTATGATTTCTATGAAATATATTAAACTCTCATTCACTTTATATATTAAAATAATATTGCCTGACTATAATCTTTTTGTTCTATTTTTTATTAAATAATTATAATATATTTAACATTTAAAAACTATAGGTATGAACCCATATCCTAATATATATTTATTCATTTTAATATAAGTATTTATTTATAATTTTAGTTCTGGGAAATTATATCTGATGAACATGGTATTGACCCAACTGGAGCATACCATGGTGACTCTGATCTTCAACTTGAACGTATTAATGTTTATTATAATGAAGCAACAGGTAGTAGTATTTTATCTAAAATTATTCATACTTCCTTTGTCTGTGACAATGATATTAAATAGGATGACATTTTACAGGTGGTAAGTATGTTCCTCGTGCTGTTTTGGTTGATTTAGAGCCAGGTACAATGGATTCTGTAAGATCTGGACCTTTTGGACAAATTTTCAGACCTGATAACTTTGTTTTTGGACAATCTGGAGCTGGTAATAATTGGGCAAAAGGTCATTATACTGAAGGTGCTGAACTTGTAGATTCAGTATTAGATGTAGTCAGGTAAACAATTTTATATGTGAAATTTCAGATAATTTTTATTATATAAGTTAAAAAAATAGTTTTTTATTTTATTTTAAAGATTGATTGGTTATTTAGTATATTCTAAATAGTATTTTTAAAACTGTTTTATCTAAAACAAATATTAAAAAAAAATTCTGATGGGTCATTTTTCAGTATTGTCCCATAGATACAAGAAGTCATAATTTTTTTTCATTTATTTTTTATTCTTTGTAACAATATTTTAAAGTTGAAGAACTATAAATAACAATTTTTTTAATATTTTTTATTTAAATAACTATTTTTGATTTTTATGTGATTTAACTATTGAAAAATATAATATTGTATTATTTTTAAAATTCATTTAATTGTTTTTAATCTTATTGAAGTGTTTAAAAATAAAATACTTGATCACTTTTTACATGACATTGAAGATACAATAAATTTTTATTCCAATACAATATATATCATCTAGATATATATATGTAAAATATTAGGCATTAACTAGACAATATCTATCGCTAGAAAAAATTGATATTTTATTAAATATTATAGCTAAATATTTATATTTTAATTTATAACTGAAAGAAAAACAATTAAATAAATTTTAGATAAATTTCTATTAAAAAAAAAAAAATTAATTAATTAAATGTTTTTTATAATCATCAATATAATTTATTTTTAGAAAAGAAGCTGAAAACTGTGATTGTCTTCAAGGTTTTCAATTAACTCACTCATTAGGTGGTGGTACAGGGTCTGGTATGGGGACTTTGTTGATTTCCAAAATACGTGAAGAATTTCCGGATAGAATAATGAATACTTATTCTGTAGTTCCATCACCTAAGGTTTCTGATACTGTTGTTGAACCTTACAATGCCACATTATCTGTTCATCAATTAGTTGAAAACACTGATGAAACATATTGTATTGATAATGAAGCACTTTATGATATATGTTTCCGTACTTTAAAACTTACTACACCAACCTATGGCGATTTAAATCATTTGGTTTCTTTGACAATGTCTGGAGTAACAACTTGTCTAAGATTTCCAGGTCAACTTAATGCTGATCTTCGTAAACTTGCTGTTAATATGGTACCATTTCCTAGATTACATTTCTTTATGCCTGGGTTTGCTCCTCTTACCTCTCGTGGTAGTCAACAATATAGAGCATTAAGTGTACCTGAACTTACTCAACAAATGTTTGATGCCAAAAATATGATGGCTGCGTGTGATCCAAGACATGGACGTTATTTAACAGTTGCAGCAGTATTCAGAGGTCGCATGTCTATGAAAGAAGTGGATGAACAAATGTTAAGTATACAAAATAAAAATTCAAGCTACTTTGTTGAATGGATCCCTAACAATGTAAAAACAGCAGTTTGTGATATTCCTCCAAGAGGGTTAAAAATGTCAGCTACCTTTATTGGAAATTCAACAGCTATTCAAGAGCTATTTAAAAGAATTAGTGAACAATTTACTGCTATGTTCAGACGCAAGGCTTTCTTACATTGGTATACTGGTGAGGGTATGGATGAAATGGAATTCACTGAAGCTGAATCAAATATGAATGATCTGGTATCTGAATATCAGCAATATCAAGAAGCTACAGCTGATGAAGAAGCTGAATTTGATGAGGACCAGGATCAAGAAGTAGATGAATAAAAAAATAATTTTTATTTTGTAAAAATTCAATGTACTTTATTTTTACTTAAAATTGTAATATAACCTTAAAATCATAACTAAGCAACATTAAATTTTGTAACTATTATATGGCTAATTAAATTTGTTATTTAATTTTAATTAAACTCTTTCTATTTAAATACTTAAAATGTTGTAATTGTTCGGTATTGGACAATAACAAATTTTAGATAAAAACATGGCTATAATCAATTAGCAAGAAATTAAAGTTATATTAAGTTTCACCATTTAAATATCTTTATACAAATAATTTTAGTTTATATTAAAAAAAATGTATAGATTGGGTTAGATTTATGAAAAATATAGACCCAGGATACTCTAAGAAGATATGTCCATTTTTTAAATGTCAAGAAAAAAACAAATCTACCATTCTTTAAAGATTTAATTTAGTTTTGTGATTAATAGTATTCAACTAATGCATTTGCAAAAGTACTTGACTAGTAATAATAAGAAAATATATAATTATTAGGAAGTATATTAAACTGTAATTAAATAATACTCATTTAACAAAATTCATGTTACATCAGTAAACAGAATTATTTTTACCCATATTATGAAAAAGTAATTAGTTAAAAATGATCACTTCTCATTGTAGCCCAGAAGTAATCAGTTTATATCAATATTTTAATCAATACAAAACTAATTGGATCCAAAATATATATACTATGTATTAATCATTAAATTATATATTTCTACAAAATATATTACAAAGCTATAAATATATTTACAATTTTGTAATTTAAATTATATAAGAGAAAAATGTGTGGGTCAGAATAATTATCAAGAATATTCAATGACAATATTTAAAGACTATAAAATTAAATCAACAATAAATAAACATACATTTTACAAAATAAAACTATTTTCACATTAATTTCAATGAGTAGAATTACCTATTTTATAAACAACAACAAATAATACATATTTAATATATTTTTTTTAAGAGTAATAAAATTTACTCATGTTTTTTTCTAATATTAAATTTATATAGTAAAATTTATTAGATACCAAACTAGTAAACAAGATAAACAATAAAACTTTGGCAAACAATAAAAGATAATATCAAACTGTAACATAACCACAAATAAAAATATAACTATTTTAGATTTGATGGGAGGTATTCGATTATTAGAAGTTAAAATTATTAAGTTGTCAGTTTTTAAGAGAAAAATAAAGAATAAATTTAAAGAAATTATAATTGAAAGTTTAAAATGAAAAGAACTATTATTTAAAAAAAAAGAGAGAGATAAAAAGAAATAACAATTTTACTAAATAAGGGAGATGATGTAATTAAATTACAGTAATAAATTATTTAAAAGAAAATTTAACATAACAAAATGTCGAAGCCATTTTGAGCAACATATGTTTAAATTTTAACACTAATTTCTATAACATACTAGCATTTGATTTCAAAACCAATACACATTACTAAAATTGAATATTTTATTCCAAAATGAGACCTATGAATATCAGTGTTTTAAAAATTATTAAAAAATAATAATTAAAAAAACTACATGTCAAAATTACTCTTTTTTAAAATTTATCATGATTTAATTCATAATAGATTCCAAAAATAGATTTAGTTTTTTTAATTAATTTAAATGTTATTAACACTATAGTAATAATATATAAATTAAAATTAGGGCTAAAATTTCAATGGTTAACCAATTTAAAAATTTCATGAATGAACTATTTAATTATGCTGTTAAACAAAGTTTTTTTTTAAAAAATAGATTTAATATGAACAGCACCACACTTAAAAAAAACATGATTATAGTTAACTATTAATGATTGTTTTAAAAAAAGATTTTGAATTTGACAAAAAAAAATAGTTTAAAATATCGGCTTTAACACATGTTTGAGAAATGAAAAAATTATTTATAAATTAACATAATTAAATAAATTTACATGTACAATATACATGAGCATTAATGCATACTTGCATATAACTATGCTGTGTATACATATTACATGCTATTTAGACATTGAAATGCCTAATACAACAAATTTATTGCTAAGCAGGAGGAGGTCCTCCTGAAGTGCTATTTGGTGGAGGAGAGAGTAGTTCCTGACGATCACGATCACGCTCTCTTCCAGGCCTAAAAGCCTCAAGTAAAGCTTCAACTCTATCTTCACTTGGACTCCATCGCTGACATCCAGCATTATTTTGAAGCCAAACAACTAATGTACTAGTAGGTGATCGTACATTAACTTCAGATCTGAAATTTATTCATTTTTATTTTGATTTAAATTTAGATCTCAAATTATTTAAATGAATGCTTACTTAGGTATACTGTGCTGGAAGCCATGTCTGTAGTAATGCTCATAAGCTGGTATTACTACTTGTCTCCTTTTAAAACGACTTGAATCAAGTTTATTAATAAAATTTGTTTCACCTTCAGACAACATAACAATGAATGAAAGTGGTTCATTAGATTCAGATAATAACTGTTCAACATGGTTCAAAGCAGACTCTATCAACTCGTCACAGAAAACAGGAGGATTCATAACAAAAGATCCACTTACAGCATTTAGATCTAAAATGGACCTGTAAAATAAGCAAAATAAGTAAAGCGTAAACTTTAAAAACTATTAGAAAAATTATAAATAGGTGCAAAATTGATATGAAAACATTTATCTATGAGTGAAACATATTCGGAACTAGATTAAGGAATTTTTGGTTCCTCTGCATTACTTTTTTTTACTCCTGAAAGTTAAATAGTATTTTAAACTGTAATTTCAACTTGGTTCCTTACACTTAGAGAGGAAATGTTTGTAATTAAGTTTATCAGTATATAACATAACTAAATCAAATATTGATAACAGATTTATAAGTTCATATTAATTTATTAGATACTTAGATCATTTTCAATTTTATTTGTATATAACAACTGACACTTAGTGAACATACCCTCTAGATCCAAAATAAGCATCTGTGTCTGGAAATGCTGAACAATACTGTCGAAAATAACAGTTTAATGGTGAAGCAAAACATTCAAAAGTCACTCCAAAATTTCTATGCAACGATTCAAGAATAGTGACAGGTACGGATGCTTGAGTTTCAGGACTATTTGCACAAAATACATAGTATCTTTTTAACAAACACCAAACTCTGCCCATAAAATAATCCATTTTTTTATCTTCAAAACAACTGTATCGATAAAGTTGCTCCTATTAATATTTTTTTAATTAATTTAAAATATTTATTTTATTTTCTACAAAATTTAAATTATAATTGTAAATTAATAATAAAAAGTAACAATAATTTTATTTTTTTCATACTAGTTTTTGAAGATACACTGTATTAATAAGTAATTTCTCTCCATTAAACCGCACATAAGTTTGATCTTTGTCAGCCATATATTCAATAGGAGGAAGACGAGGTGCAGGTGTTGCAAACTGAATAGGATAACACCATACTTTATGTAGTGTTAACACTGCAGGAGCTGGTGGCATTTCTATATAATCACATAAAAAAAAGAATAAATTTATTCAAAAAATATTGTTTCTTTAAATCAATAAAGTAATAACTAAAATATTTAGATCAATTCTGAAATAATGATTAAATAGGTTAATAATTGTTTAATAGGGTTTATAAATCCTACATATAATGTATGAAAAACATATAAAATGGATATTGTATATGTATTTTGGGAACAATGTTGACATTTAAATAAAAAATTACTTGCTTGTAATACTTATATTTAAATATGAGGTATTACAGTTTATCTAAACAATTATTTTAGTAAAAAAGTTGTCAATAATTTTTTTAATTATGAAAAATTTTAAATAATAAAAAGTTGTTTTGTTAAAAATGATTAAAGTAGACTTAAAAATATATATAATACACAAATGAGATTTCAGAATACTAATAACTCAAAAAAGATATCTCAATACTTTTTTTGAACTACTATAGATTATTATCATTTAATAGGGATAGGGACACAATGAGACAAGGGCTACAATCAAACAAATAATATTTTAAGTTTTTATTTAAATTATGAAGTATTTGAAGTATTTATTAAGGAATTAAATGTTCAACTAATAAAAATTTGGCAAAACTAGTTGTTTTTATTGAGTAAAAACAAAACAAAAAAATTTAATTTTTAATTTTTTAAAAGTAAAATATTACGAAATATAATTAATTATTTTATTTTATTTAAAACGCATAAATATTAGTATTAATAAAGAAGAGTACTCAAATATTATTTATTGAATTCCTACTGTACTGTAATTTTTAATATTAGATATCTTAAAATTTTTTTGAAATAGAGTACTTTGAAAATTAAATGTCTTATTATTCCCTCTTTTTCCTATTATATATATATATATACCTGTAATTCCTTGTGCTTTTAAAAGTTCATAATTTTTCTCTCGAATTTTACGGGCATACTCAACAGATAAATGATATACTTTTGAACAAATCCCTTCAACAGAATCTTTGACAGTTTGCGCTATATGCGGTTGACATTGAGACTGAAAGTTTTTATTAATTTAATTTATTTTCTAATAAAATTATAAATTGGAATTACTTTTAAATGATTCAATCGTTCTTGAAAATCAATATAAGTAGCTCCTACTGTTTTTCTTAGCCATTGTAATGTATCTTCAGTGTTCCATTTTACTACTTTTCTACTTTCTTGGAGAGCATTTCTTAACAATATAAAACAAAAAATTAATTTTTTATCATAAAATTCATAGTAAAATGTTATATTACCTAGATTCTATGAGATTTTTGGCTGCTTCTGCATAAATTGACAATTGTTTACGAGCATCTGCAGTATATTTTGGTTTTGATAGCCGTAAAGGAATGTCATTCATTATTTCATTATACATTCTTAAGGACACTTCTGGATAACATTGTGATGGTAATAAAGGATCTGAACCTGTATCAACAATTTTTCTTTCAATGAGCCAATGATTAAAAGATTCTTTTGGTGCATTTATGTCTGGAAATTTTTTTTACAATTAATTCAATATGTTATTAATATTTTAAAATTAATCCAATAATAATTTGTAAATTCGTGTTTACTTAATATACATATATAAATGAACATTTAAAGATTCATAAAAATCTAATTAAAAATCAACAGAATTACCACTTAATGATAAAAGAACAGAAATCAAAATTTTTTTTAATTAATTACTTTCTCTAGATTGACACAGTTCTTGATAACATTGTCTTAATTTTGCAACTAAATGACCACGGTAAAACTCTATATCTGGATGAGGTTGTGGCAACATTGATGGGGATCTTTCATAAATAATTACATTTGTTGGTATTTCCAAATCCCAAGGTCCTCTAAAACATAAAAAAATTTTATTTTGATCTAAAATCATAATAAATGTTAATAACTATATACATTAAAATCAATTTTTTTGAAGCAGGACCAACAGCCATCTCTTCAGCTGGTCTCTTTTTTAATAATACTTGATTAGCTCCATTTTGATGTCCATCATTCGTTATTCCTAACGGATCAGATGACACATCAAACTGAAAGTACATATAAAATTTCAAGCCAAGATACATAAGTATAATACTTATTAAATTTTATTAATATAATTGCAAATGAACGCAAACCTGTCTCATAGGAGGAAATTCCCAAAGTGATTCTCCAGTAAGTTTATTCCAAAAATATGGACGGTTCTCTCTTTTACTCCAAAATTTTTTCCATCCTTGCTGTAGAAGTTCTACTGGTAATTCTGGTTCAATATATGCTCCAACAGCAATAGGAATACCCTAAAAGCATTGTTAATATGTATATTTTAAAATTTATTTTTATATAAATAAACAAACATGTGGTGTTTGAGGACTGGAATGTATGACACTTGGATGAGGACTAGAATTGTTCATTGCATGAATGTTTTGATCTAAAATACCCATAGATGGTTGAATTTTAATTGGTACGGGAACCATGATATCATGAGAAGGCATAGTATTCCATCCTTGTTGATTGCTTATTACTTCTTGCTGATCATTAATTTCATTCAATTTATAGTCTAAAAAATAAACAAAATAGATTAATATTAATATAAATATAATTATGAACAAATTAATGATAATATGCAACCATGGTTTAAATTTAGGTATGAATAGGTAAGAGCAATCCTACAGATTATTCTTAGAGAAGAGAATTGTTACATGATATTACTCTATTAATATTCTTTCATAGGTGTTTTTTATTAATAATAAATTTTACAAGACAAAATATAAAAAGGAAGGCACAGGAAATTCTATTCAATTAAATAAAAAATTTAAAAAGCTTTAAACAAAGCAATTTCAATTTGACTCTTCAAAATAAACAGAATAGATTTATACCCTCTTATAACTCTCATTATATTAGGTCTATTAAACTGGATAAAAAGGAATAAATGTTTGAGTACACAAGACTTCAAAAAAAAAAAAACAGAGATAAAAGGAAATATAGATTTAACCATTAGTTAACAAGTTAAAATAATTATACCAAGTATAGAATAATTAAAATTACAAATATTTCAATTAGTTGAAATTCTTTAATATTTTTCTGGTGACACTTACCATTTTTCATTTGAGGAATACAATTTTGTAACTCCATATTATTTAAATAACCCATCAACATGTAATAATCATGATAAAATTTATCTGCAACAAAAAACAAAATATTTTGTAAAACAAGTAAAAAGTATTGTTGTAAACAGTTATGAATAATTTACTTTTTAAAATGAAAGGAATTAAAATGACACAAATTAATAATATTTTAGGCGGGAAAATAATATGGATTATAAAACTTCAAGAGATCTTAGTCACAAAATATAACAATGCATACATTTTACTATCCATAAATCTAAAATAACTCTTAACTATTGATGCTTAATTAAGATACTAATTGTAATTTAATAATACTAATCAATGTTAAATGTATTTCAAATATTTCTAAAAAGAGACTTAATAAAAACTAGTATTATATTTACTTAAGAGTATCAATGAGCTTATTGTAACCAGAGGCCTGTCTTTAGGCAATCCATTGTTTGATCCTTCAGCCAAAGTAACACATTGCAGACAATTAATAGTTGGCCGGTATAAATCGCGGTTATATCTTCAAATATTAAATATAAGAAGTCACACGCGACAGACCCGTTGGCAAACGACGACAATAAAGACTACGTCCAAACAACAACGGAACATACACTAACATCAGAATGATAATGATAAGTCTTTTCTATTACGTTGTTTCCCTCCCTACCCCGCTACTGTATCAAATGAATGACGGAGAAGTAGTCAATTATAGTGAATGCAATTTCGTTACCTCCGATACTGCGGTACAAAATATTTACAGAAAATCAAACATTAGTTTACAATGAAGCTTTTTTGTACCTCCATACGCATACGCTATCTGGTAGTAAAAATATCATTAACTACTAAAGACATTTAGGTAAAAATACCACCTAATTATTATACAGTAAATTAAGTAAATATTCAGAAATCGTCTAGAAAATGAATTTACCTATGAAATCGCCATAATCGTACAGACCTCATTTATGAACAACACTATTAGAAAAACGTTTGAAGTAATGATTAAGCCATACTTATAGGTCTGTAAGATGAAAGCAATCAACAGGCAAATTATTTCTACTAGACGATGTCCGAATATTTAGTTGACTCACTGTAATTATAATTGTTGAAAAATAATTATGTACTAAGTCATGAACAATTATTTAGAGGTAGAGGCAAAGAAAAAGGAAACATAAAAAAATTTTTTAATAATGAATGAGAAAAAATTACAATACTGCTTTTTAAAAAAAAAAAATTTTTTTCATAGCTTTTATTACAATACATACTTTATTTCAAAGATATTGTTTGAAACAGTTAAAAATCATCTGACATATTAAAATTAAAAGTGTTTCTTGATAAAATATGAAGCTTTCTGAAGAATTTCGTCTATTTACAATGTAAAAACCTAATTATTAGCAAATGTCATAGTTAAATGTTATCAGTAAGGTGAGTGTCCCACACTAGCAACATTTGAACAAAATGTTTGAAAGGTCTAATTTAATTTCTCCGACCTTAAAAAATATTCCTATAATATACATGTAACTTTCATGATTTTTGAGGGGACTATAGCTAAACCTCTCTAGACCCCCCTATTGCACCTTTGACTAGCAAATTTTTTTTTTTGGTCCCAGAGAAAAGAGATATAAGCAAAATAATTATTATTTTCAGATAAGACATCAATAGATAAAAATATATATCTCGTTTATAGTTTTTTTCTAAGTTCTATTAAGTTATTTTGTAATTATAAAAAAATATCAATGAATTTTAGGCACGGTTTTTTATCATACAAAAATTCCAGGCTGCGTGCAACCTTGAATTTGAAAGATTAAAAAATGACCAACTTATTCATAAATTGGTAATTTTTTTAACTTGAAATTAAGTTAGCTTCAAAAAAATCAAGTTAAGTTAAAAGTTATAAAATACTATTTTTAATAAAAAATTCAATCAAGTTACTTAGAAAAAAAAATAATAACTTTTTTATTTTAGTTAGCCAGTAACAGTAGCGTTTATAAGGGGGGCGATAGGTAGTTCCCACACTTAAACTTTGCCTTTTTGAAATATTATATTAAAACAGTATTTAGCTCGCTATATTTACGGTTATTATCATACATATTCGCCTAATTTTAATAAAAAATAAATGTATTCTACTTAAAAAATGTAAATTATTTAAATGCCAAGTGGGGCATTTTTTTATTTTATTTCCTCTTAAAAGTTATTTACAACTGCTACTTGCTAGCAAACAATTTTGTTGTCTGTAAAAAAGGTAATTTTTTTTTGAAAAATATAAATTTAATCATCTACCATAAGAACTATAAGGAAATCTAATTTTTTAATTTTATAGTATTACTAAAAAATACTTACATTTTTAGTTTAATAACTCCATAGAATATAAGTCATGTATATTTGTTAGTGTTTTAAATTTCTCGGAAAAAACCATTTTATTTCAGTATAATACTAAATATTGTATAAACCACAATTACTGTACGATAACTTAACGCGTAATAATAATTTTAATAAGATTTAATGTTTAAAATGATTAAATTTGCTAAATATATGTGCGAATTATTTTATTGACTTGCTTATATTTACTTCAAAAAAAAAATTTTAAAGACTCAAATAATAAATTCAAAAAATAATACAATTTATAACATTAAAGACTATTTAAATTAAATAAAACATATTTTTAAAACATTTTTTCATGTTTTTTTAGTTAAATTTTAATCCATTGTACAAGTTTATGTATATGTATAGAGCAATAAACATATATTCAGGGCATTAAATGTCTTTGAAAAACTATTATTAAGATTCAAAAATTGCCTTAAAATAGTCGCTATTTAATAACTGTTAGACAGCAACTATTTTAAGTATAGAAAATTCATTTTTAACCATAATTTTAGTCTTGTGTAAACTTTTTCTGAATTTCTTTTTATTTTATTTTTTAAACTTTAAATATTGGTAAACATTTTTTCTAAAAAGTATAATTTTCTACACATTTTTTCTTGACATTTCTTTGTATTTTTAATGTTTAGAATGTTATTCCATTAAAAAAATCGACAAGTTTTTAGTTTGTTTTTTATTAAGGGAGGGTAGTGGTGGGCAGTAAATTTTATTTTGCCCTATGTATGAATTTTTAAAAATATGGATCTTAATAATTTCAAAGTGAATATTATTATTTTTCGTTAACTCTATTAACAAGCTCCATTCATTTTACTCATTGAATATTATTATTACAGACAAAAGGCTTACTTGTGTCATTACAACAATAGACGCTCACACACTTATTTTTAATGAAATGTTTTTACTGTTGTTGGTCGACGAAGTTTTACCGATAACGTGGTAAATTAATAAACCAATTGGAAGAACTATTTGTTTTTCTATCTACTGAGTAAACTTAAAATCATTCTATACCTATGATTTTTTAGTACTGCTCACCCTGTCTAAATATCAAGTTAGTTACGCTCATGTTTTAGGAAGCCAATTGCAGTTAAAAAAATATTTGATCTAAGAACTCATCTGTCAGTTGACAGTGATTAAATTGAAATGTTTATTACCAATATATTTGTTCGAAGAATAATGTGGCGTAAGAAACACAACAGTTTTCATTCATTTAATGTTGAGATTTTAAAGCAAACCGACTGTGTGTTTTATGATCTAATTTAAAAAAAAATTATTTTTATAAATTAAAAAAAATTTATTTATTATGTCAAATATTAAAACATAATTAAAAATGAACTTGCTGTGTTTTGGTAAGTATTAATATAGTTATAAATAAAATAATCATATAAGCTCTGATACTGATTAATGTAATTGAACTGCGTTTTTGACTACAAAATAGAAGATTACCAGGTCCAGCTTATTTCGAGGGTAAAGCGAAAATAGGTATTAGGGAGATTATGCATCAGTGGCGGTCAAATGGGAAGAGATTTGAGGGATAGATCCCATCTCTATTGACATACCTTATTTGATATTTTTATATAATTTTTATATTTTGGAAACTTAATAAGAAGAAAGCCACTTATCCATTAGTCTATAATAATATTCTGATAAAGTTAATATAAATATGAAAACCTTGAGATATGAGATTACAGCGCCCACGAAATTTTTGCCATAAAGGTTTTTCATCCCCTTCCATAGCAAAATCAATTGACCGCCTCTGGTATACATTACACTATAAATTCTTTATAATAAAACTCTTATAGTTTATGCATTATTATTTCAAAATATGTGTTCAACTAAACTTGTCTTCGTAGCTATATAAATAGTAAATTTAAAAATAAAATGTGCAACTGTTATCATTGTTTTTAACTTAAATAAACTTAGATAGATGTATTATGTATGCAGTCATTTATAAATGCATCCAACATAGAACACCGACGATTTAATAATTTCTCAATGAAGGAATCACTAATCTTTTAGAGTAAAATAAATAGAGTTTATAGGTCTTGAAAATTTACTATTAAATCTTTTGGAAATCTATTTTTTAGTTTGATTATATTAATGTTTGATCATTTTGAAATGTTAACTTACATATCCTTGTGTCAAACTACAATATTTATTCGTTTTTTTTAGAAAATTATGGTTATATTAAAAAAAATAGTATTTAAAAAGCGAATACAAAAAAATAAATATAAAAAGATTCCAAAGTAACTGAAATTTTGCTATGTTTTATTTGATGAATAAATAATAATAAGTCAATACAATAAATGCACCTGACCTAAATTCTGGCTATCAGTAATCACAATAGTTCTTCATAACTAGTTTTAAGTTTTTTTTTATTTTACTCTGGTGGGTGGAAGTAAATCATCATAAGGATATAATTGTAGTATTCGGTTGCCCATTTCCTTTTGTATGGCATCTAGTGACGGTTCTACAACAGGAAACAGTTCGTCGGCCATTTGAGTTGCATACTGGTTGGCAAACCTCAAAGCTACTCGGCCTGTAAAATACATAATTATTTGCGGACTTGGCTTTGTAATTTTATTTCATTAAAATGTTTTTATTCAATATAAGAATTACAAAATAGTAGCAAATATTTGGAATAACCTGTGTCTGATACTTTAAAACATGGTTATTTATATTAAGTTATTAACTTATTATTGTTAATAAATAATAATATTATAAAGATGTTATTTAATCTACCGATTATTCACTGCTATGATGATTTTCTTACAAGTTGTACAATTAGGTATTGTAATTCAATACTTTATTTTGAAAAGAAATATTCATACTGATTTATTGAAATAATAACTACTACTGATATTATAAAAATAATTTGTTGTGAACTGTTGTCGTCGTATATTTTGTAATATAGAAGTAATTAGATAAAGGATTATATCAATAAAAATAACTTAACGTATTTTTTTTTTTATTTTGACTTTTATTCTATTTTTATGTTATCGAAGAACAATAATTGTAAAGCGGAAACTAAAGGTTGGTCGTACAAATAGTGATCTAGGTAAAACGTTACAAATTTCTCAAAGTAATATTTAACAAATGGATATTTAATTATAACATCAAAGTTCTCGTACATTTGAAACAGCTTAACCGTTATCAGTCGCATGAAATTTAATCCTGAAAGTTATTGGATCGATGTTAAATATCAAGTATTATGTATTGTAAATTGATGGAATCATACCAGAATCAATTTGAAATATTAATTAGTATTTTGTAACATTTTTGGTGTACATTTAATTGTTTAAAATTCTGTACCTCTATATATAAGTTAATAAAAATCTTAATGAAATGATATTTTTAAATTTAAATATGATTAATAAATTTTATTGTACCTAAAATTAAATTCCGTTTTATAACAAAATATATGGTAAATGTTTCGATAAATAATTTGCTCAAATAAATTTTTTTGTATCTTTTGAACTGTTTGAATAAATCTTTAAATATAATTCTTAGAATGAAAGTTATGAACAATTCAATAAGAAAAAAAAAATTAACACTGTTATAAAGGTTATTTGATTTCTCGTTTAAGTACCTTCTGTAGAATTCAAAATTTATGCGTATGGAAAAATTAATGAAATTTCGTTTTAAATTTAATGAATTAACAATAAGCTTTAAACGACATATTTCATTTATAAAGATTAACCTAAATATTTTATTTTCTCACCTACTATATAATTTATTTTATCATCGTTTTTTATTCTTATTGAGAATCTCAATGGATGCTGCCAAGCATAGTGGGTAATGATATTGTAACGAAATAGGTACACAATAAAATGATAAATTAAAGAAAAATAGTGTATTGATATGTTCATAAAAGCGTAGATAATTGAATGTTTGTAGTCAGTTCATTTGTTTACATTTTTTAGCTTTGTGTTTTTTTTGTTACTTTTATAAAGTATTTTTAGAACTAAAACTTACTCAACACAGCGTTTCCTGCAACTAATTCTGTCGCCTGAACTTTAGTGTCCCCAAATTTGGGTGGATGCGTGAGTGAATTATCAATTTGTAGGAAAGTGTCATTTTTCATTTGCTTCGCTGTTGCACTTAAAAGATAACTAGCCTCAACGTCCTCTATGCAAAATTTAAAAAAATAGGATAAGAATATAACATTCACATATTTTTTCCAAAACTAATACCGATAAAACTCTTACTAAATGTTATGTTATAAATTCCATTAGCGTTTATGGCAATTCTACCCATATATCCCTTAAATTTGTATTGACCAGAAGTTTTAATTGAACGATAATGAGCCGTGAATCCAACCTCAACTTTATTTGGATTGATAAATTTTGTTCTAAAAAGTACAATGAATGTTAATTTTATTTTTGGTATTTTTTTTAAACTTTTAAAAAAGTAAATTTCTATTATTCTTCTTCTTCCACGTCTTAATCCCAACTACTTGGGGTCGGCCACCCTTATCCTAAACTTCTTTTTGACACGATTTCCCACATCATCTACGCTCACATCAGCTATCCTCAAATCGTATTCAATAGCATCCTTCCATCTTTTTTTTGGTCTTCCTCTACCTCTTCTTCCTTCAACATTCATTTCTACAGTTCTTACAGCTTCGGATTGTTTTCTCCTTATAACATGACCAAACCATCTAAGTCTATTTTCTCTCATCTTATTCACGATTGACGCTACACCTATACTCCCTCTTATATGCTCGTTCCTTATTTTATCTTTTCTAGTCACTCCACTCATCCATCTAAGCATTCTCATCTCCGCTACACTCACTCTCTGCTCTACTTTCTTATCAACCACTTAACACTCTGAACCATACATCATAGCTGATCTCACTACAGTCTTGTAGAATTTACCATTCAGCCTCATTGGAATTATTTTATTGCATAAGACGCCAGACGATTCTCTCCACTCCAACCACCTACACTTAATTCTGTGTCTTACATCCTCGTCAATACCACCACTCTTGCACAACTGACCCTAAATACTTAAAACTCTCCACCTCTCCAATCACGTCCTCGCCTATTGTCACTAACCTCCTCATTTCACCCATCTCGTGTAAAAAAAAAGTAAATTTCTATTGATAGTGTAAGACTACAATTTAACACAGAAATATCATAAGCAGGACACAAAATTATTATAAGTCCGCTCCCTGGCTTAAACAGAATTTATAAATTCATACACTTTATACGCATTTATACATTTTGTTTATAAAAAGTCCTAAGTCTTTGCAACTTTGTTGTAGGAATATATAGAAACGCAGAAGTATTTTTCCTTTTAGGTATCTTAGGAAAAGGTATTTAATTACATAAATATAGTATTTATAGACATATAACTTAAAAGATATTAGAACGAAACACAATATGATATGTTTTTATATACACATAAGTATTTATTTTGCGTATATTTTCCCTTAAAAAAATTATATAGTTTGAATAATATTGCACAGACATATCATTTGTGTATGCGTTGTGTTATTATCACGACTAAGATTTATTCCCAAAGAAATTTAGAAAATTTTTATTAAAAAATAATTAAAACATCAATCTAAATAAAATACAGCAACTAAGAAAAAAATGTTTATTTTTAATTTATTCAAAATTTCAAAATAACCATTTTCTAGCTCATTTATAACAAAATAAAATTACAGGTCAATCACAACGTTAGAATAAATTCTTTTTGAGTTACAAGCATTTTATGACAACAATATGAACTGTACCCGACCAATTCGTATTGGTTTATACAAACTCCACTCGCACAGCATATCTTTTAAAGGTATTAAAATATTTGCAACTCAATAAATAAATCAATCCTAAAATGCGAGAGACTTTTTTTGTAAGAAAATGGCTAGACAATTTATATTTTTAAATGTTGAAACAAAATTTTAATTTAATTTGTATTTTTTCCTATTAGAGACAAATAATAAAAACCGGCATCTCCCATTTACTGAACGAGAGATCAGTTCGGTAATTGAAGTTGCCACCCCTTTCTCCTACGATGGACTAACCATCTGTCTTGGAATATTAAGTATTCTGTAGGATAAGAAATCTCATCATTGGAAAAAGCCTCAATAGCCTTTAATGGGCTGTAAAAAGCGAAATATATAACTAAATACTTAATTATTAACAATAATATTAAAAATGAATTTACAATGCCAAAAAACAATTTTAACCTTAGCGATTTTAATTTGATAGTTGTCAATCCTTCTGTTATCATATTCTTAACTGAAATTTTTCCGCCAATTAGACGTCCTTTTTGTTCAAAACTTAAAGGAGCTTCTGCAAATACAGGCTCAACATATTTTAAACCATACTCGTCTATACCTGCAATAGTAAAATACGTTTTTTACCACTACTACAATACGTTTAATTTAATAATAGAACAAAATAATATCACTAACTTATATTGCCTTTTTTAATAACACGCTTTTATTAGCTTCACCTGTATGTTTGTTTGTAACACTCTTTTTTGTTAATTAGATATAAACATTTAAAGGTTCAAATTTTTTTTGAGTTAATATACATGTATAATACATAAGGGATTACAAATACAGGTAGCTAATTGGTTTTTTATGACGATATTCACAGGTATATAGCCTTTATTATCAATGGCAGTAAGACATATTGTTGTGAGTTTATAAATACACTAATTGACAATACAGAAATCATATCTATTGATAGTCATAATTGACAATAAACACCTGTGCTGTGACAATGATGTCATAAAAAATTAAAAAGTGAAAAATAAATATAGTTTAAAAAAAATTGAAAAACACGCATTTAAAGCATATCAAACTAAAAATTTAAAAATAATATTTAAAATAAGCTTAAAACAATAATGATCGAAAAATACTAGTATTATTGTGAAAAAAAGCGTGGCCACGAAAAAGCTAAATCAGTAACATTTCAGGTATGTCCCCAGATCTATATTTATGGAATGTTATTTGAACATTTTCAATTGAAACCATGCAAAAGATAATGCCTATCATTAGAAAAATAAAAATACTTATCATAATATAATAAAAAAAAAATGTATTTTTTTAAATTAATTTTATGACTTCAATTTAGTCACAATTAAAACTTGTAATTAAGTGCCCAATATTTTGCATGTAGTGACCCAACACAATTGTAATTCAAAACTGATACTACCTTTATGAAACTTGTCGACCACTTCGTTAACTTTTTCTTTAATGCATACGTCTATTTTTGGGTCGTCTCTATAACAGAGATCCACTGATTGCTGTGCTGTAAAAATAAAAACCCGTATAATGTTATCGTGAAATTATGTTCTTATAAATTAAATTTATTTGAATAAGTTACTAATTGAGTTTGTTTTTTAATGTTTTTGCACCTCACGTTAATCTTTCAATAATAATAATGAAAGAATGAATGATCAGTTTGGCATTCTTCTATTTCCCAAACGTGTTACATGTTGCTCGTTACTTGTAATATGTTATAGAGGATGGTGGCCCTCTTTCACATGTTAGGGAGTCAAAGATGATTCTTGGCTAGGCCAATGATGGACGGGACGGACATTATGGCCGGCTTGCACCAGAGACCACACACCACCAATGAGAAAATCTTTAGAAAAATCTCTTTAGCAAAACAGTGAGCCGTAACATACGTTTCTACTCACTAAGCCAGCTGACCTTTTATTTTAATATTAATTATGATTTACATTGGGTTTACAATCTCAATTTCGAGTAATATATGTTTTTAACACTAATATCATTTTCATCAGGTGTAAATTCATATAAAAATTATAAATCAATTTAATAGGTCTTAATAAAATAAAAAGCATTTTAAATTATTTTTATCTTGATTTAATCATACATTACGATACTCTTTTTTTTATATATTTATTTTAGCCTTATTTACAAACTGATATATTATTTAACTATAGTACATTTTTTGATAGGGTTTGTATCCTTAAAATAAATGTTAAAAATATTGTTATGTTTGATACGATTATTTGGCAACTTTAATTGGGCGATGGTCAGCACATGCGCTCGGTTAAAAATATATTTTTCATTAACTATAAACACCAAAAAACTCATTTTAATATAATAATAGTAAATCTACAGTTATTTATTTTAAATTTCAAAGCTTGTTTTACTAAAATGTATAAACATAATATAGAACTTGAAATAATATGTATGTGCGTGTGTTTATTTAAATTATTAATGTAAAATAATTTGTTTTTCACATATTATTTTGAACATTTTTGCAACCAAAATATATATTTTTTAATTTCTAAAATAATAAAAAAACAGTAATTATTATTATGAATAAAATGTTTAAATTATCTTAAAAGACTGTTTGTTAAAACCAATTTGTTTCTTGGATTCTTGAAAAGTTCGTTTATTAATTCTAATAAGATACTGACTACAGTTTTTCTTAACAAAATTAATGAAAAAATAATCAAATATACAAAGATTATTTTAAGCTTGTATGATTTTTACATTAATTTATACAAGTAAAGTTATTCTTAAAAACATTTATTTAAAAAATTAACAAAATAATCAATTTAAATTATATAACAATATCGAGAGAGTACTTACCGGAAACGATAAAAAAAGTAGACAAACTAAGAAACAGAAATATCCAGATCGACCAATTAAAAACGTTGTTTTTCATATTTACATTCATTATAATCCACTGAAATTTTAATATTTCCAAGTTTTTTTTTTAACTCAATCGCGATGATATTGTCTTAACATCTATAAATCTTAACTGCCGAATAGTTCATTACTTATTTAACAGCAAATAAATCAACTTCAGACCTGCTATGTCCCCACGATTTTTTACTATACAAATAGACAATGACAGTTGTTAGATTAAAATAGCTGTTTTCTATGATCTCAATTTTGATATCTCATCGGTAAGTATTGTTGTGTTTTAATGGATTATATCCTACCAGCACCACGGGTATCAATTTTAAATAATGGTGAAACTTCTTTTTAGTGTTCTAATTTAATTATTTATGTATTACAAATGAGCGAAAACCTACAGCATAAGTCAATATAATTATAATATTACAGCGTATAAAATGCAATTATTTAAACATTAATGAAAACAGATTTTCACTAAATAAATGCTGACGTGACATGAGAAAGTTCAACCATTTTTAATTGTCTTATTATTAATTATATTAACTGTTAATCTGATTTATAGTTATCCTTGTTTGCAATTTCTTATTAAGTGTTAAAAGCATAAATTATTATTATTATTTAATTAGATGAGAATTTTATTGAGTGCTGCTATGGTAAAGTACCACATTACTGTATAATTAACCTATAATTTGGCTGTAATTATGAGTAGTAATAGTTGAAAAAGAAGCAATACTTTTCCTTATAAATAGCTTTTTGATTTTGGACCACTAATCTGACCTGCGCAAAACTTAACATAGTCTGAACACAGTGAAATTAATAACTTATTTGGTAAACAAAATCATAATAATTATCAACAAATTAAAAAAAATTTCGTTTTATATTTCAAATTCATGATCTTGAATAGTCTTTAAAATTTTACAATATAAATTTTTTCAATGAAAAAATATGTTTTACTTATTTTTAACTCAAATCGAAAAGTTATTTTGTTTTTTGGAACTCCATGAGATTATAAATTTTAAATTTACATATTTTACTGTTATTCAATGAGCGAAATCTCATCTAAAATGTGAAACCCTTCCTACAAATTTTTATAATGATAAGTTATTAGAGCGTTACCTAGTGGTCATAGTAACAGGTCATTTGATTACATAAATAAATAATCAATACTAGGTGGCAGTGCTAAAATACAATTAGGGATCTATTAGTTTCACCTGATATTTAAGAGAGGGGAATAAATTACCCCTTCTTATCATAATACAGAGCCAGAGCGTTTAGATCAGAGATAATCAAGCAGTCGGCCAATTAGGGCATATGTGAGATTAGTCGACCGCGAGCATCCTTGACCTACCGAGTAGGGTATACACCTGCAAAAACGCTCCTACCCTTACAGATGTTCATTCCGGGTGTCGATATCAGTCAGATGCCGCCTCCCCTCGTTCCGTCAGTACCGTTGACTGGCCCCAACCGAATAGGAATATGAAAATGCAATAATTATTTATGTTAAAATAAAATAATATAACTACAATAGGGCGAGCGGCTGTAGAGGCGGTGGCCTGGACTAAAAATAGCCTCTATATGCTGGGCGTCGTATGGAAAAAATAGTATACATATATACTATGCTAGCAGTGTCTTTTGGTATTTCGCCCGAGTCTTACAGTACACATTAAATTCGATGGCTAAAAGTAAAAGCTTTGCGCTATAAATAAATCGGGGCGGTCTTGCCGACCAATCGCTGACAGTATTGTATGTCAACCGTATAGACCATCTCATCCTAGATGAAACAGTGTTAAAGAGCTCATTCAATCCGGTGAAGACAGCTGTGCCGCCGACTAGCTCAGGTTAGAAAAAAATTATGGAATTATTTTTTATATCATATTTTGAGTTATTTGAATTTCCGGACTTGCTGTAAAATTCTAAAACTATTTTCTTTTACGGCATAGCAAGTCTAGTAATTAATAACATACAGTATTAATGTGTTGAAGAATTTTAAAATATCGCTAATGTTTTACTAAAATGTATTTGTTTTAAATAATTGCAGATTTTTTGTTCATATATCAAGTTTAAGTAACAAATCTACAAACATGGATGATGAAGTGAGTTTAAATTAATTATTCCTCTACACTAACGTTTTCAGTATACTAATTGTAACACATGCGGATTATAGGCTAGGAAAGCAAAACAAGCGGAAATTGACCGCAAAAGAGCCGAAGTACGCAAACGTATGGAAGAAGCTTCCAAAGCCAAGAAAGCCAAGAAAGGTTTCATGACTCCAGACAGGAAAAAGAAACTTCGTGTAAGAATTAATTGTTTATTTTTGATTTGCCTACTATTGAGTTATAACTAGTGATGTTCGTCACAGTTGCTTTTGAGAAAGAAAGCCGCTGAAGAATTGAAGAAAGAACAAGAACGCAAGGCAGCTGAGAGGAGGCGGATCATCGAAGAAAGGTGCGGACGTCCCAAGAACGTTGATGACGCTGGTGAAGGTAAGATGATGTCATATTTTAGTTTTTTACAATAACATAAATTTACTATACAAAATATTTCATTTACGTGCTAAGTATTTATGAAAATGAATATTTTTTTATACAATTCTCAATTATTTAAACATATTCTCAAGAACTAAAGTATATTTAATTTTGTTTTGGTGCACATTAGATGCCATTAAAACTATTTGCAAACAATACTATGAAAGGATTCTCAAGTTGGAAGATCAAAAATTCGATTTAGAATACGTCGTGAAAAAGAAAGATTTCGAGGTTAGATAGGCCAAAATGCTTTGAAATGCAAATAATGGCGAATTAAATTTTTAATTATACTTTAATAGTGATACGCAGAATGAAAAATTCATTTAAATTTTTAAACCTATAGATAATCTTATGAACTCATATATTTTATTTAGACATGTTGATAAAACTAGTTAATGTATGTCTAAATATCAGTTTTGAATCAATTTTAACTTTTTGACACTGAACGGAAACACGGTTATTAAGAAAAATAATTTTTTCATTTTGTGTAACAATAAAGTAGCTAGCTGTTTTTAATTTTCGCGTATTACACAATTTTGACGCTAAAAATACGATTATGTTACTTTTTTGTTATGTAAATCATTTTGTATTTCGCTTTATAACATATTAACGGCAGCCGTCCCTTTTTTTGGCTTGACGTCAAAGAGCAAGGGCGTCGAGATTTATATTTTTTTGCTCTGGCCGACATTAACGCTTAGATAAAATGAAAAAACTACACACAGATGCGTAGCGCGCACGAACACTAATTTGTTTGCCAAAAACGCTCACAGTTAACGTAACGGCTTCAGATTACCATTAAAGCAACTATGACAGTTTTGTATGGTAATAAGCCTTTCATTTAAACAATTGATTTGAAGAGATACTCCAGTAAGACAATTTTTTCCAGGGAACTGGTTGATTCACCAGAGTTTAAATGTATTTTTTTAAATCAAACCTTAACATAGGAATTTCTCGAATTCTATATGGGTAAAAAGTTTGAGAATAAACTCAGTAACAATAAAAATAAAATTACAATTTAAGCATAACTAATACTATTTGAGATTATTTTTAAACATTTAGGTTGTTTTCTTAATGGTTATAAGGGTTTTATTTGTTTTCATCATATAATTCAACTATTATATGGTATTAATACGTTTAGAGGAGCTTGCTGAGATTTGTGAAGAACTTTGGAAGCGCGTTTACAATTTGGAAGGTATAAAGTTTGATTTGGAAAGGGATTTCAGAATAAAAGCTTTCGAGGTAAATCGTTGAATTTTTCAGCATGTAAATGTGATAAATTACCCGAATGCACAATCAAATTACGTTTTTATTATAGCTTCTGATTGATCACCTTATTCCCTTAAGACTATTGTTTTTTATTTAATCGATGAATTGTTTTTATACTTAGAAATATACCACTAAATAATAGTAGTCCTAAATAGTAATAAAATTGAAATTTTTGAAAATTATTCTTATAACTTATCTTAACTTTATTAATTAAAAGCTCTACATAATTTTATTGTCTACTTTGATAATTAGAGTATTATAATTTAATTTTCATTAACATTAGACTATAAACCAAATCGTGTTTTTTATCTTTCAGTGTGAAGTAACTTTTTAGCGTTGTAATAAATTATTAGTAGAATGTTTGCTTTTCTTTAATTAATTTCCATCAATTAGAGTGCACAATAATTTAACCTTTTTTACAGATCAGCGAATTGAACAGCCAAGTTAATGACTTACGAGGAAAATTGTAAGTGTAACTTAATAAAAAAATAATAAATCTGTGACATATCATTTATTATATTTTGTCAACAGCGTCAAACCAACATTGAAAAAGGTGTCTAAATATGAAAACAAATTTGCCAAACTCCAAAAGAAAGCTGCCGAATTCAACTTCAGAAACCAGTTGAAAGTTGTAAAGAAAAAGGAATTCACCCTGGAAGAAGAAGACAAAGAGGTGTGTTAAATACTCAAATTGAAATAAAATCTATATGATCATCATAATTTTGTGTTCCTACAGAAAAAACCAGATTGGTCGAAAAAGGGAGACGAAAAGAAGGTAGTGGAAAACGAGGCATAAACTCCAACACCACTCCATTGTTGTGTATCCTCCGCCAATTGAATACGTTTTTATCCAGATTTTATTTATTTCATTTATTACTCTATATTACATTTTATGTTCTACTATTATGACTTCACCACCAGCATGTAATTGTTATTAACTATATAACCAAAATATTTGTTGCCGGAAGCGGCGTACTATAAATGACTCATTAAAGTTATTTTGTGTAAAATTTTATTAACAAAACATGTGTACCCTGTATTCCTATATACATAATGTTAAACTTATTACCTCTTCCACACTCGTTACCAAAGCACATATTAATACCACCGATATTACTTTTTTTGCAAACCAGTTGCATTATTGAAGTGATTTTTGTAAAGATCAATCTGATTAGTTAAATTCGAAATAGGGATCATTATTTACGGGCTTGTTTTTTTAATACTACCTTTAATTTTAAATTTCAACAATTCGTGTTAGAAGACTTTTAGTTTCTCGTACTATTCAGTCTTAATAAAATGCAAAATATTCAAACTATTTTGCTGTATCATTATAATCTAGATATTTAGAGTTATGTTATAACAAACTGAGATTTATGAGTGACCAAGAGAAATAATACAAATATCGCCTGTCGTCTTACATTGTATCTGTTCTTGGATGAAAGATATGTAAAACAAATTCTTGAAATATTTTTTTGAAAAACTCGATACGCGATAATCACACAATAGTTTTTCATCTTTTTTTTATAATCACTGAAATCCCTAACACATAAAAATATTTGATGTCACATAAAATTCTTATGCATGTTTTTAAAGTGTATATTCTAAAAGCATGTTTCTCTTCAAGGGATTTATTACCTCCCAAAATTATTTTATGGTTCTTCAGATTTTTACATCAAATTTACCTATCAGAAAAGAAAAATTTTAAAATAAAAACATTAGATTTTTTAGTTTGAGAAATTATTATCTCTATTTTCGCCACTGACGACAACTTTACTTTTAAAATAATTACGTTAAGTCATGAAACTTTCCATAAAACTTATGAATCTTAACGTATAATATAGGCAAGTAACCAACTTTTAGGTTTTTAAAAAAATAAAAATTACTTTTCAAGTAAAATTTATCATAAATAAGTAATAATCAATATGATTAAAATTACTTGTACTTATTATTTTTTAGACAATTTTTAGCTTCGATGCGAAGCTGAGAATGTATTAATTTTAACATGATGTGTTTTTTTTTTGTGTGTGTCTGTCATTACTTTTTCTCATATCTCACTGGACGATTTTTCTCAATGATACGTCAAAAGATCACAAATCATATTTAGTTAAAGACATTACCCTCTAAAATTGAAAATGTTGCCCTCATTCCCCGTAAATAGTGAAAATCCCCCAAAAAATTACGATTTTTAAAATTGGTAAAATTAGACATTTTTTTAACTTTTTTCAAAAATTGCCATAACTTAATGAAAAATAAACGAATCCAAATTTTTTTTTTTTTTTTATTGAAACCATAGATAATTTTCTTTTATTTGATACAATTTTTTTTGAAAATCTGACCCTTTATTTGCTTACAGGGAAGATTCAAAATAGTAACTTCTGCACTATAATTTTAATTTTTTAACTTAATATTTAAAAATGTTCTGGAAATATTACAAGCTTCAAACATATGGTAAAATAAAGCTAATGTTATGTGCTATAAAATCAAAAAAAAAAAATTTGTCCCGACGATTTATCTTATCATCATGTGCAAATGATTGTCGTAGTTAAAAAACATACAATTTGGTGTTAAAATTTACGATTTCATATTTTATTTTTTCAACTTTAAATTACTATAACTTTTCAAAAAATGTACGGATCAATACAATTATTTTTTCATAAATACTTTATGTTTACTTCTTTCATTTGATATACATTTTTTGAAAATCTGACTTCAAAATAACAATTTTTACACACAAGTTAAACTTTTTCAACTCAATTTTTGAAAATTTTCCGGAAATATTGACACTTTTATTTAATCTTAAATTAAAACTTATGTAATATACAATACTATGAAAACAAAAATGTCGAAATGTAGTGAACATAGTTATCATATTCAAAAGTATACTATTTTTGTGTTAAAATTCTTGGTATTGTTTTTTAATTTATTTTAATATTCCTTATAATGGGATACATTGATTTTCATGAAAAATATATAAATTTAGTTGATATAGAATATAAAGTTAAACTTATTTAAAATTTTTTTTCTTTTTAGTTGAAAAAAACATTTGAATCAGCTTAAATTGCCAATTTTATCAAATACGAATGCGACGAACGTTTGCCGATTTATTTATTCTTTTTGAGTCAGAATTTTGCTTTTGAATAATCCATAAATTTCATAAAATTAAATGCTATCTACCGATTTGCATCGAAGCGTTTCTTATGATAGTGATTTTAATCACTGTCAGATATCATCTATACTAGTTCCAACTATGCCACGTTCACACTGTGCCGCGACCCCACTGTGCTATCGTATTATTATTATTATACATTTTTAAACTTTCTCTCTTTACATTAAACTATTTTTGTTTGATTAATTAATTATACATTTTTCTTTTTAAATATTATAACTTGTTTTAACAAAAAATATTAAATAAATTAATCATTGATTTTAATTTTAAACAAAATCATAAAATCCTAATTTTACTTGCCTATAGTTCCATTATATGAATAATAGAAACATAAGTAATCTAACTTCAAAAAGTTCTTTTAAGACATTCGCGTTAGAAAATTTGCACAAATATATATGTAAATTAAACATAATAATTATATTCTAGTAGAAACTAATCGAGCTAGCTTAAGGCATTTTCGTAGAATGTAATCAAGCCGGCAAAGAATATTATTTTTTTTTTATCATTTTATCAATAGGATTCCTTTGTTATATATTTTGTATAACTACAGAATTAAACTGAGGTAAGAGATTATAAAATCATTTTTAGTTCAATATTTATGTTTTCAATTCCTAATGTTTTTTTCATTGTAGTTCATTTGAAATTTCAATAAATAATTATATGATTTTAAATAAACTTTAAGGGTGAAGGAGAAGATGATGGAACAGAAGACGACAATAAGACAGATGATGGTCTTACAACGGAAGGTGAATCCATTGCAGGTGATTTAACCGATGCTACCGAAGATCACCCTCAAAGTGACGCAGAAATTATTGAACATTTAGAACCAGAACCCGAACCCGAACCAGAACCAGAACCTCAACCACCGTCACCAGCTCCTGAGGGTAATGAAATAGTGTTATTGATTATATTTAATGTCAAAAATAAAATACAACAAATAAGTAGCAGATTTACATGGGAATTCAAAGGACTGGATCACTTCAAACACCGATATTTTTATATTCTTTAATATGTAAAATTCTGATTCGTATTTTAATTAATTTTTTTCTTTGGGGCGCCCCAGAAAAATATTGAATTTTTTAATTTAATATATAGTTTTTTTTTTTATATAAATATAATTCTAAAACTTTAAAAAGTATATATTATTTTTTTTAATTAAGTAATTATATTATTTATTTGTAAGATCTTTATATTTTGTTTACCAAATAGAACTTTGGGCGTACCTAAAAGACACAGTTTGCTCAAACAATCCTTTAAGTGTCGATGACCTTGTGGATAAACTAATGACCGCTGTAACGGCTATACCGCAACCATTATTGAATTCAGTTGTCAAAGACACAATCAAGAAACAAAAATCAATAGATGAAGGTATATTTATTATTAATTATTCAATTAAATTTATAAATTTAAATAATTTAAAAATGTTGACTCGCTCCACCAAATTTTATTTCGTTAATTCATAAAAGAATTTGTAAATAAAATTACTAGCTAGTAGTATTTTTGCTTACAATGATAAATTTTAGGACTCGAAGGAGGACCACCAGTTGAAGACACTTCAACTGATCGCGTAGCACCTGCTGATGGTTGTGCATCAGCAGATCCTGCTGATCCAGCATCAAATCCAGTTGATCTTGAAGCAAATCCTACTGATCCTGCAGTTTCAGTTGATCCATCGGTGCCAGTTAATCGAGAACTGTCAACTGAACAAGGTGCGCCGGTTGATTCATCAGCTCCAGTAACAGAAACTGCAGCAACGCCAGAAGGTGAACAACCACCTCCTATTATCACCGAAGAAGTTCCAACTAAAGTTGCAGAAACAACGTCAGTAGCAGATGCACCACCAGGTATCCCTTTAAATATTTAAATACACTTCGTTCGAATATTACAGAAAATAGTATTTATAATGTAAACATTTGGACGTTCAAATTTATTAGTTATTAAAATATACTTTTAAAAAATGGCATGTAGCACTGCAGTAATCATTCGTGTCATGTAATATTTTTGGTTTTTAGTAATTAAAATTTATTTTGTGTAACAAAATGATTTTTTTATGAATTAACGGATTTGATCTATGATTCAGATTGGTGGTATTTTTTCAATCTATGCTAATCTGGATTAGAAATCAAATACTGATCAATCCGATTTCTTTCTCAGTTCTAGTCGATAGTACTTGATGAAAAAAAACTGTTTATTTTTCATTTTTTGGTAATACTTTTATACTTTAATCTGAAACAATAATGTTACCTATTCAAGTTCCCCTCAAAATTATCTATCATAATTATACATAAGTAAAAGACTTTTAAATTCAAATGAAAATGTTTACTTAAAATGTAATATATTCACTAGCATTCTGAAGCAATAGCACAAAAAAGGCTACAATTTTATAAAATTATTGATCTACAAAAAATTGGAGGTTTTGTACAGCTCACTCGATAAATAATAATTCGACGGACTACCTCTGACTATTTATATTTTATAATTTGAAAATCGCTCTTAACTGAGATTACTCATTAGTTATTTACTTGGAAACAAACATATGTGATTTTTTTCCTTCCAAAATGTTTAAAGGTAATATTTTTTTTTATAAAAGTCTTAAATTCAAAAGTAAAATATTCAAACAAGCTCTTTTGTTTATTTTATAATTTTTCTTAAAAATAGATATAAAAAAACTAATATTGAAAAATAGTATCTTAAAAATCTATTTAAATAGTTACGATTTTTTTTAAATTTTCATGTTGTTTTTTTCACTTGATATTGACAACTCCGTTATTTTAAAATCGCTTAATAAAAACAATTTTCGATTGCATATAGTAATTCTGATTAAAAATATTGTAAAAATAAAACTAATTAAAATAATAAAATTAAACAGTCAAGATCAATTAGCTTTTTTTATCGTGAAGTTTTTCGTATAGCCATACCCCTCCAGGGTTGTCTTTTACTACGTCGTGTTATTTGAAAAATATTATATTTGTCTATAATTTATCACTAGATGTAAAATGTTAAGAATTCCTCATTAATGTAAAAATGGCTTTAATAAAAAAATAATTAATTTGTTCTCCCTTTCCTAAACCGATTGTTCATTTTTCAGCCGCTGCCGAATGATAAACATGTTTAAAACCACTTGCAAACCAAGGAATATTTGATTAAAGCACGTCTTCGATGTTTTTTACTTTAACATAGATTTGACTACTGGATGAATCACTGTAAATGTTTAAATTTTATTGTACTTTTTTGTTTTCATTTCGGATTGGGTCATTGGATGTTATAAAGTATATACAATGAGTACAATTCAGTGAGTAGCCGCTTATTTAACATGTAACAAATGAAAAATGTGTAAAAACACATCAAATATTAATATTTAATTTGTTTTTATTATGCAACTTGTTTGTAAATAAAAACCTTCATGTGATTAGTCAAACGATTAATTATTTATTTATTGATTCTGTACTTATAAAATAAAAGTATGTTAAATAAAAAATTAATGTTAAATTTTACAAGTGTACATGTTTGTGTATAACCTTGATTCCCAATTACAAATAAATCATTTACTTAAGGGTATAATGAGTTTGTTTATGATCAAATATAATCTTGTGTTACCAGAATATTATGAATTTTATGTGATGCAGTTACTGAGAAACGACAAACAATATTTAATATTTAATACGATTTTGATTCATTTCAGGACTCAGGATATAGACAAACATTAACAAAGTAGCTTTGGGGCTAAGTCCCCCAAAAATTATATCACTTCTATATCAAAATTGTATTTTTACTATTATTATTAAAGATAACTCCCTTGATTAATTTAATTAAATCATCTCATTTTATTATATCTTCGTCAATAGCTAAAAATGTTATACGCATAAAATTATTTAATTTTTTTCATTGTGTCAAAAATATTTAAATACTAATTAATTAATTAATATATAATCATCTATCATGTTATATTCTAATGTATATTTAAAAAAATCATTTTTTTTAAGATATTACACTAGATAATTAAGTGAAATCTAGACAAATGAACTTTATGTGAATGTGAAAATTTTTAATTCTTAGCTCTCACTTTAAAAGGGTAACTATTTGAACTTATTTATAAAACATTAAAAACTAACTTTAAAATGTCAGTAAATAGTCTAATAGAGTTCATAAAAATTCAACTTTAATTTAATAACACAATATTTCAATGAATTCGTTTTAAATTATGAAATGTAAATTTCAAATAAAAATCACTAAAAATATTATTTGGAAATAAATCTTAAGACAGTATTCGTCTTAATTCATAGTTATTTTTTTAAAAATGTTTCAAATTTAATTACATACATGAAATATGCATTAATTTAATAACATAATTTGAAAATAATTACTTATATTAATGATAACACAATAGATTATTAAATTTATCCAAATTAATACATAATTTGTGGCGATTATGTAAAAATTATTTTGATGTTTATTGTGAATGTATATTTTATGTCTTTATCTGTAATTGTGAATTATATGTATACTTACCCGTTGTATTTCATTATTGCATTAATCAATTGTGTCTAACCATTTAAACTAACACGTAAGATAACATTGTATTTTTAAATGTCAATTATTAAACATAATTTGTTTTTCTCAACATTATACTTTGTGTTTATTTTTATTTAATTTATTTTTATTTTAATTATTTTATTTCATCGCAAAATAATTGCCACGTAATTCACAAACGAAAAAGGTATCTTTATCATACCCAACACAAAAAAAAAAAAGCTCGACATCCAATCTCTTAAATGATTCAGTAAAGTAAAATGTTGATAGTTATAGTTATAGAAAAGGTTGTTTTGAAACTAAAAGTTTGAGTGGGGATTAAAAATTATTTGTAGTTTATATAAAAAAAATGTCCTGCTGAAATTATTACATTCTTGAATGTGTTGGTGAGCGGCGAGAAATTTCAACAATTTCCCCTAGAGACGTACTAGGAGTAACATATTCGCTTGAAGTTTCCTCAGTCAGCTAAAAAGACTTTTTGTGTGTTATGATTAGCCCAATCGAATATCATAAAGTTAGGCAATATTGACTAACTAATTAAAAGGCTTAGTACAGAAACTAGACAAGCCGTTTTTATATTTTTCAGGAAAAGCATTTTACTATTAAATTTTCATTTATTTGTTCTAAATTAAATATTTAATTTAAAACAAATAACATAGAAAAAAAATTCTGCAGTTAACATTATTCATATAAATTGTTAATGGATATTTCTGCAGTCTTTGAGTGATAGCTTACATACTTACAAATATATACAATCTTTTTTTCCAAATTTAATGAAAAAGATGTGCAAAAATTTGAGACTTCTGCAACAAGTTTAACTGGTTTTTCAGGCTTTTAAACTTGGTTATAGTACTTATTTATTAAAAAACCAAATTTAACTTTTAAATTGTCACTACTTAATAATAATCAAAAATATAATGAATATCTTCTAGTTATTATTTATTAATATTTTAAAATTCATTAGAATATTTACAATTTAAAACATAGAAAAAACAATTTTTTATTATGCAAACACACTTTAAATTTTGTTAACTAATAAAAAAATAACTTAATAATTTATAATGAATAACATAATGATTTAATCTTTTAATAAACACAAGGTTGCACAAACTATTTTTGTTGGTAGTTATTTAATGAATAATTATGGAAACAACAACAGAATAAGAAAAAAGAAATGTTAATAAGTTATAATTAATTAAATTTGGAGATTTTAAATGTTTGTAACATACATTAAAATTCTTTAAAGATATATCGTTTAAATGTTTATAGATGTAAAAATGGTTTAATTCAATAAATGTATATTTATATTATAAAATAATTGATCTAATTATTACATTAAATAGTTTTATTAAATAAAAAATATATACTGAAGTTAATTGTTACAATATTTGTTCTCAAAAATTCAGTTTAAAATCAATTCAAACAAATTAAATTTGATGTCTTCAAAATTTGTATACCTGTTTGTTGTAAAAGCCATTTGTTAGTGTCTTTGTTTTAATATCTTGTTGTTATTCAATCTAAGAAAATGTAAATAAATTAGTAGAAAGTAGTAATTATTAGTAAATATACTGAACAATAGATTAGAATATGTTCTAAATTATTTATTAATTTTTCTGATTATTTTAGATATAGAGAGAAAATGTAGACTGATTAACTAGATTAACTATTAGTATGATTAGGTAATAAATTATGACTTAATAAAATTAAATCATTGTCATTTTCTAATTTAATAAATCTTTATAAAAAAAAATTAATTCTTTAGTTTAGTGTTGTTAATTATGAATGCTACAGTGAATAAATATAGTATACGTATTGTAAATACTGTCAAGTTGAAGGTGAACAAATATAGGCAATTATATGTGTACTAGCTGACCCGGCCACGTTTCGCTGTGGTTTGATTATAAAATTAATATTATTTTCAATTATGGAACATAACTATGCAAATATTTATAAAACTTATGAATCTGAGTTATCGGAAATTATCATTGAATACAATTTTTAACACTAACAATGAAGAACGATCCAAACATTTTTTTTTGATTTTATACTTTATTTATCTGAAATTCAAGTACAATAAAAAAATAAATAAGTAATATCAAAATTCTTTATTGCTCACATTTATATAAATTAAAATGAATCAATGAGGTATCAAAGATTGATTTATACTCCAAACAATTAAATTACTATTATGTTATGTTAATATTAAAATTTAATTAAGCGCTATTTGGTACACAATATTTTTAGTTAACGCAATAACCTATGAAATGTATCGTAGATTAATATATAGGAAAAAAATGGAAATCACCATCAAAATGTCTAAATGGAAATCACCAATTATTGTCAATATTTTTGTGAAGCGTTTACAATTATTGAAAGAAAACACACATAGACAGGCGCCATCTGTAGGACGCTTACATTACTTTAATAATGAAAATTGATTAAATATAAGTTTCATAACACCATCTATGAGAAAATAATAGCAATCAACTTTACGAATATAATTTTCAATAAAAAATAACTGAAGCTATTTATCAAGATAAAAACTATCCTATTGTCTAAGTTGGAACCAATTACACATGTATGTCAAATTTCATCAAAATCGGTGTCCATTGCGGACAAACACAGTGATATGAGATTTATATATATATATATATAAATTGGGTTACAAAGTAAAATATTGAATTTTCTTTAATATAAGCTTGATAATTGTTAAATTATTTATGATATAAAAAAATATATGTCATAATACAAAAACCTTTATATACCAAAATAACAATCATTTTTTACATCCAACAAGAACAAGAACCGGGAATTCTCTCAGAAGAAATTGAACAGGCAGTGTCAAAACTGAATCATTATAAGGCACCTAGATCAGATGAAATCACGGCAGAAATGCTAAAACTATACGGAGTTAAGGGGGTAAAGATCTTCGAGAAAATATACAATGAGGTTTGAACCATAAGAATATAGCCTGAAGACTTGGTAGAATCTATCTTCATACCACTTCATAAAAAAAGGTCTTCCGAAGACCGTAGCAACTACCGCACCATCTTATTCATCTCATATGCTTCCAAATTCCTACTGAATGTCAACCATGCAAGATTGAGATACCACGTATATAGTCAAATACCTTTGGTAATGTACTTCATTGGCTAAAACAAAGCTTTTAACTGTGTACAATGATGGAAACTATGGACAGTCATACAAGAAATGAGAATCCCTGTACATATCATCCAGTTAATCAAGAGCTTATACGCTGGATCAAAGACAGTAATCAAAGCACAAGATGCAGTATCAAATCAATTTCAACCTACAAAGGGTGTTCAACAAGGGTGCATCCTATCACCTATATTTAACATCTACAGTGAAGCAGTATTAAGAGAGACACTTCAGTAATGGAATGGTGGAGTGGTTATTGGAGGTAGAAATATCGATAATTTGCGGATTGTGGATGACACCGCAAACCGCATGTATGCCGGGTCCGAATCAGAGATGGGCCACTTGCTAAATCTTGTTGAAGAGGCAAGTAACAAGTACGGCCTAACAATAAACAAGGGCATGACCAAGGTTATGGTTGTAGATCGGGTGGGAGTACTACCATACAACAATGTACTGAACGGCTACCAAAAAGTGGATGAGTTTACATACTTAGGTTCAATTGTACAAGCAGATAGCGGATCATCTAAAGAAATTAGGCGTCGTGTTACACTTGGGAGGGAAGCAGTCAGCAGGCTAATAGAAATTTGGAAGAATAATCATATTTCCAGGAACAGCAAGTTGCGACTGCTTAAGACACTTACCTTCTCAGTGATGTTTTATGAATTTGAAACATGAACACTCAAAGTAGAAGATGTAAAGCGCATAAACGCCTATGGAATGTGGCCTTATAGAAGGGTGTTGAGACTTTCCTGGATGGAAAGGAGGAACAATCAATCAATTCTGACCATGCTTAATATGAAAACAAGACTGGTTAATGGTGTGAAAGTAGAGGATCTTAAGATTCTTTGGCCACATCATAAGGGCTGGATCGAGCCTGGAGAAGCAGATAATCGAAAGTAAAATAAGAGGTAAAAGAGCACCAACGCGTTGGATAGAATAGATCAAGACCATCACTGGTTATCCTCTGGGAGAGGCCATTCGATCGGCAGAAAATCGTGAGCTTTGGAAAGGGATTGTTGCCAACATTAACTGATGGATCATCAAACTTCCATTTTTGGAAGATGGACTAAAGAATATGTAAAAAATATTAAGAAAGAAATAATTTTTAGCTAAAACAATAAATAGAGTAATCAATTCAAATTATATAAAAACTATCCATATTCTTACATTTAACATACAAGTTAAAAATATTTCATGCAACAGGAAAATAGAAAAACTATTAAAAAAGAGTAAAATTAATAATGATGAATGTGTAAAAATTATTTGAAAATGATTAAAAAAATTGGAATTAGATTAAATATCTTTTGCCTATTATTATCCCTGTGGATAGGGGATAAGAATACTTCTACAACCCCTTTGCCAGTTCTAAGAGGTGACTAATGAGGTTGTGTCAAGTTGACAGTCAGCTTAAATTTTTGTCGAAGAGTATGAGGAGTCCTGAATAAAACTTAGGCGGATTGGTGCGGGGATAACAAGAAGAAATAAAGTAGTTAAAAACGGAGAAGGCCTAAGGAATAAATTGTTTGATTCCAGCCAGACAACTTGTATGATAGATGTTTCACTAGTCATGTGTACAGGTCTACCCAACTTATAGTGTCTATGGTGTAGGGACATCACCACTTAACTCTAGGCTGGACTCGTGTATAAGGGAGAAAGATAAATACAAAGTAAGAATAGGTAATTGGAATATTGGAACAATAACTAGTATAACTATTGAAGAGGAGAAAAGTGAACATTTGCTGTATGCAGGAAACCAAGTGGAAGAAAATGAAAGCAAGGAAAATAGACGAGGGGTATAAAATAATATACTCAGATAAGTGTAATACAAAAAAGGGTGTAGGGATAGATAATAATGGATAAGGAGATAAAAAGTAAAATAGTAGAAGTAGCTAGGAAAAATGGCAGAACTATAGTTGTAAAACTAATTATCGAGGAAATAGTGTTGAATGTAATAAATGCCTGCCTATGCACCATAAGTAGGATATGATGAAACAAATAAGTGCTTTGGAAAGAGATGTATGAGATGATGTAAGGAGTATCTGACAATAAGGATGCGGTGATAGGTGGATATATGAATGGACATGTTGGTAATGAGAGGAGAGGATATGAAAGATTACATGGAAGGTATGGTTTTAGTGGGAAAAATGAAGCTGAATAAAGAATCCTGGATTTCGCAGTATCGTATGATCTTGCTGTGGTTAATACTTAATTTAGAAAGAGGGAAGAACATTATATAACATATAAGAGTGGGAGTAATAGATCACAGATCGATTATTTTATGTGGAGAGCGTAAAGCGAGTAAAAGATTGTAAAGTTATACCAGATGAGAGTGTAACTACACAACATAGACTGATGGTAATGGAATTGTGGTGTACCGGAAAGAGAATAAACAAAAATAGAAGAAACACAGGGGAAAAATCAAAGATCCTGTGATGGAAATTGAAAGGGGAAAATGAAAAAAACGGTAAAAGAGAGGACGGTGTGGAATGTCGAGGGAGACATAAATGATGTGTGGAATAGATTTGCTAGTTGTGTAAAGAATACTGCAAAGGAGATTGTTGGTGAGAGTAGGAGTAGAATGCCAGGAAACAAGGAAATCTGGTAGAGGGATGAGGAAGTTCAAAAAATCATAGAAAGTAAGAAAAAGCAGTTCAAAGTATGGCAGAAGAGCAAAATGAGAGATGATTAGATGGAGTATAAACGCTTGTGCAAAGAAACCAAGTGTGCAGTAAGTAAGACAAAGTTTAAGAGGTATGATGACTAGGAACAAAGGAAAACAAGAGAAATCTATTGACTAGTAAAAGAGAAAGAAGGTCTTATAATTATCTTTATGTAAGGTGTATAAAAAGTGTTGATAATAAGGTACTATCGAGTGATGATGATGTCAAAAAAGATGGAAAGAGTTAATTACTAAATTAATAGTGAAAATTACTAAATGAAAAATAACCAAAAGAGTCATTTGAGGATATCTTGTAGAACTGGTAGATTTAATTAGTGAGAAAGATGTATGGAAGGCTATAGTATCAATTAAAAAGAATAAAGCAGTAGGACCAGATGAAGTACCAGAAGAAGTATGGAAAATATTAGGCAGCGTGGGCATAAGGTAGTTGAAAAATCCTTTAAATAAAATCTTATTAAAAGAGAAAATTCCAAATGAATGGAGGAATAGTATTGTGGTGCCGATATTTAAAGGTAACGAAGACATACAGGAGTGTGAGAATTATAGAGGCATAAAGCTTATTAGTCATAGTATGAAAATTTGGTAAAAGGTAATAGATAAGAGTATAAGAAATGAGACATTGGTATCTTAAAACCAGTTTGGATTTATGCCTGGTAAGTCAATAATAAAGCCATTAAT